GAAAGATTAAACCAATGGCCTATTTGCTTAAGTGGTAATCAGAAATTTCTACCTCCACTGGCAAGATATTTTTAAAATTCTGAAAGCCAGAGGAACATACATTGAAAATGTGTAGCTGTCAAAACTATAGGCTGGGACAGAGAAGAAAGAGAAAAATGGGCTGTCTGGGGCAGTACTGAAGTGTCAGTGGAACCATGGATCACAAAAAGTTATCTGCTAAGCAATGCTTTCACAACTGGAGTGTATCATGTTAGAAATCCTAAACATACATTTCTTGCATTTGAAGAGTTGATTTTTTAAGGGAAATTGTTCAATGATTTTCCTTTTTTTTAAAATTTTTGATTAATCTGAAAAGAAATTTGAAGGCAATAGCTGCACCCTAACCTCTGGTGGATGAATTCAGAGGGTAAGCAGAACAAAAGGAGCTCAGCGAGCTGGCTGTGGCCCCCCTGTGCCACCAGTGGCTGATCCCCAGCTGTGGCAAAGCTCCTGCCTTGGCTCAGCCCACTGAGCTGCTTAACATGCATGTCTCCCAAACCATCCCAGCCCGGGAGCTGCCAACCTTCCCTCATCGTTTGCTTGGCTGGAGCAGCCAGGGAGAGCCCCCAAAAGGGGCGGAGTCAAGGGATGCAAATGAGATGTTTTGCTATAAGCCTTGAGGGGAGTTAGGGCGGGGGGCTTAAACCATTGCCGGTTAGAGACAAATGAATAGAGATGAGGTGGTGTTTGTAGTCATGCAGGAGCCTGTTTTTGTTACCTCTTGGATGGGGTCACATGAGGAATGGGATTTCCTTGCATCTGACACAGACAAATGTGTCTCCATTGACTGGTTTGGTTGTTTTCAGGGAAACAGCCAGTTGTGTGAGTGATCCTTGCCTGGGTACAGCTAAAGAGCAAAGGGGCTCAGCTTCGCGTGAGAAGCAAGCAGAATGGGTCACTAAGCCTTCTTTTTTTATTTTTTTCAAGAAAAAAAGAGAAAACATTTACAAAGCATATCTGAAGGTCTTTGGCGTTTATATCTCATTCATAGACCTGTAATTTATCCTCAGTTAATATAACAACAAAAAAAATTACCACTGTTTTGATTCTCTGAATGGTTTACCATCCCTCTTTGTGGCTGTTTTGTTCAAAAATAAAGGAGGGGAGGGGAGAAGTGAGCATATTGTAGGTACAAAGGGAGAAGATAAAAGCATCAGCCTGTTTCTGTACCTCCTATGTAATATTGCCATAGTAACGAGGAGCTGGCTGTGGCTGTTCATCACTGAAAGCTGAGGTAAAGCAGACACTCTTCTTATTCAAAGGAATATTAGTAAAATACAGTTTTTTAAGGTGCCAATAAAGAATTAGGAAAAAATTATCTGCCTTACATAGCACACTCTGAAAGCTAATAATAAAGTGCCTCTTTGAAAGAAGACAGGGCAATTAAGGCATTTAGCAAACATCTATAATGCTGTAAATCAGAGCCTTTTATCTTCCACACAAAGCCATGCTGAGGTGTGATGTGCAGTCACAGATGATATATTTTGACATGAAATGTGCATGAGATGAGCAGCTCTCCTCTCTTCTGCCTAATACATTTCTGGCATGGCAGCTGGCTGTGGCCATTGCCAAATATTTGTACTGCAGCATTGACTGGCCATGCTCTAATTCAGATTAAAGTGGGTAAAGTGATTTATGTATTTAGAACTGCATGATGTCTCCTAGATCCTGGTACTATTTTTTAACCATTAAGCCAGTTCAAGAGAGAATTAAATTATGTTTCAGGTGTGTGCATCAAAAATACCTCTATTTTTGAAATTCCAGAGAAAAGAGGAATAGTTCAATTGCTCTTGGGAAAAATTTGTGAATGATAAAAATGTGTGGTGATTTTGGTGCACAATTGTTAACATAACTTACTGTTACTACTGCAACTTCTCTGTGATTTACAGCAAGAATTTGACATTTAAGTTGTTGCACTTTTGTGTCCAATATCAGCCTATTTTCCCCTAAGTCTTCTGTATTTGATCAAATGACAGCTTTAACAGGATGTTTTACCCTGCACACACTCTCAAAGGTCTTATTAAATTGCAAGTTGCAGGTTCTGGTTTTCTTTTCTGAAGGCTTTTTCAGTCTGAAGCACGTTTAAAATGAGGGCTTGAAACATGGAGCAGAGGTTTGCTAGCAGCCACGGCTGCCTTCTGGGATCAGGAGGTCAGAGGGGGCTGCAGGAACAGATTTTCCTACAGCACCAGTGTTCCCTGCCAGCCTCTCATTCATGCCTCTGGTCAGGGTTACAACAAGGACAAGAGCTCAAGGCAACAGCTCTGGGCAAAGTGATCTGAGCTCAGATGCCTGGGAAAACGATGCAGATTCAGGTCAGAGCCAGGCTGAAGGGATGGAAAGACTCAGCCAGGAGGAGCAATAGCTGGAGGCTGTCCCTGCAGGAGCTTGCAGAAGAGGAGACTGAGCTGAGCATGCTGGCAAATCCCTGTGAAATGCCAAGGAAATGGATGTCCCAGCTCTTGCCATGATGGACTCAGGTAGCAGGTGACAAACTGGTTCCACAGACAGAGCCACTTTATTCACTCAGCTCTGTGCTGGCAGGAGGAAGCTGGCATTCACTATTTCCTCTTTGGGAAAAGCACATGGGAATGTCACAGACAGCTGCACACCATGGCTGTGAGGCCATTCACACTGAAGTTAGGTATGAACTAGTTCATTTACCCCCCTTATTATATGCTCATACAGCCTTTTTAAAAGTGATTTCAGCATCACTTACTGCTCAGGCTTTGCTCTTCCTTGTGCAGCCTGGTTGCATTTCTAGAAGTTTGTTTTGCTGTGCTGTGATGGGTTTTGTGACAGCTCCCTGCAGTGGCCATCAGAAAATGCCAGAACCTGCCTAATTATGCAGCCTGTTGGGCTGCACATTGACATGTTCTGGTTGATGTTGCCTGGTAAAAGGCTGGCAAACCTGAGCTTTCACCTTCTGAGCATACTAATGGGGTCTTTCTTGTGTTTCGTCTGCCAGGAAGCCTGTGTGTGGGAAAGGGAGCAAATAGAGATCATGTAACTTGGTCTCTTTCCACAGTTTGCCTGAATGGTGTTTTTATTGCTTGGCCATGGGTAGTAAACACGTTTTTGTTTTCTGTGAAACTCTGTCCTATCTGACTTGTGGAGTTCCACTTCCAAAAACAGTTCTTAGGGTTTCAAGGGCAGCTTTGTGTGTGTGAGAAACTGTGTTCATGAAGGAGGTAGGAAACAAGGATTTGGAAGACGGAAAATTTCTTTGTGGATTACTGTTTCTTGACAGACTACTGTAGTTAAAATAAAAAGCTGATAGTTTTAGGAATAAATAAAGTGCAGGATTCTTCTTTACCTGGTTCATGTTCTTGTCTTAGGGAAGAATTATTGCATTGTGGGCATCCTCTTTGCCTTGTCTAGTAAGCTCAGAAGAGAAGTTTGAATTCTCCCTCGGTGTCATCAACAGCCTGGTTGTGTTTATGTTGCTCTCCTGGAAGGTGAGGGGCTGTGGGTGTGAACTCCTTCATACAGAGGGTGTGAGGGCAGTGACCACCACTAGCATGCTACACAAAGTTTGCCATTTGGTAGGAGAATTTTCACCCTCAGAGAGATGGCAGTGAAATGTTTCTGCTTGTAAAAGAACGCAGTTCTTATAGATAGTGACAAATTAATAGCTAATTCACTGCAAAAATGTTGAATGCAACATCTGAGTGCAGATTTAAGAAACATTTTTCTTGGGTACTTCCCTGTTACTTTAGGGGTTTTAAAATTATTTCCTCCCCACCTCTGCAGCCAGGGTATGAAAAAAGTCAGTGCTCCTGTGAGAGGGCAGAGCTTCAGCCCTTAAGCCCCAGGCTCTGCTGGATTTTGGTGTCTGGCTTGGACTGGTGAATGCTGTTCTGTGAGCTGAATACCTCAGCAGGATGGGGCAGTGCCAAGTAATGCCTCACTGCAGCTACATCCCTCCTCTGGCTGCTGTGGCTTCAGGCCCTTGTCTTAGTTCCTATGTGTTGTGATGGGGGTGCTTTTCCACAACAAAAACCTTTTTGTGTGGGAGGAAAAGATAAAGGGCTGAGGTTGGGACTATAATGTGTGCTCTCTGTGGGCCTTTTTAAAAATTCTTTAGCTAAAGTAGACAATGCATAATCTAACTGAAGGATGAAGGAATGTTGACACAAGAGGTGTGGGTTCAACAACACAGTGTCTCATGTACAGCCAGCAATTAATCCAACAAGTGAATGGCTGGCTGAGGCCATTAGCAGACTGGCAGATTTGGACTTGGGTTTATTAGTACATGTGCAGTGACTTCTCAGCAGTTGTGTTCACTTGGAGTGAGATTTGGGTCACACATAAAGGAACACAGGTATGCCAACATGGACCCTTGTGGGTCCCTTCCAACTCAGCATATTCTGTGATATGTCTTCTATATGACATTCTTCTGCTGAATACTTTTTCTGCTTTTCTTTGTGTATATGCTGCACACTGTAACTCACTCTTGTGTGAGGCCAATCTTGTATAACTCATGTCCTTCCTTTTCTTTTCTTTCAGCAACCTGATTTATTCCTGATTTATTCCTCACCTTTCTCAAGGCTGAATTACCCCTGACAGGTGCTGCAGGAGGGATGGAAACTCGTGGTACAAGATATACTGCATACAAAGCCTTAAGCTGTGCAAGTGGAGAGTTGCATGAACTTAAATGGAGTCTTAAGTGTCTTGAATCAAAAAGTTTTCCCATGGTAGTTTAATTACTTCTTTGTTTCTTCCTGCACTTTTGCTGTGCTACCTTCAAGCCCATTTGAGGTTGGATCAGAAATACATTTCAGACCTGTGCTGGCAGGGAAGAGGTGAACAGCCACTGACCCACAACAATGCCTCTTGACCTTGGCTTATTTATCTTTATTTATCTGTCTGTTCTGTGTGTTCACTCTAGCCAGAGCTGTGAGCTCAGCTCCAGAGAGCTCACTGAATTCTCTCAGAGTGGTGCTGCTCTCTGTGGAAAAAGGCAAATGGGGTGTCACCAGGGAGATGCTGCAAGATGGGGAGGGGGAGGGGGAGATGGAAAAATAAGGTTGACGTGAAGAGGAGTAGACAGGAGCTTAGGGACATGGCACAACAACAAAATACCTCAGTCTGTGGCATGGTTCCATTTCTCTCTTATAAATCTTGCAGTGCAGACACAATTCTCAGTAGCATCATCTTGCCTCTAGAGAACAGGAGCACCTGCACCATCTGTCAGCCTGGTCCTGTCTGAGGCAGGAGGTCCCTGTGCTGTTTGCTGGTACCTCGGCTGTACATTCATCTCAAACCACTGCACAATCAGTGCTTGTCCCCTGCTGCTTTTGACAGAACTGGAAAGGTTTGATTCACTTCTCTGCTCAGGATCCCTCAAAGGTTGGATTTGAAAATGAGAGGAGAACTGGCATGGGTGGAATTACTGCTGCTGAATTAAAGTTTATCTCTTTAGCCCTCTCACTTACAAAACACCGTCAGTGCCATAAGGCAGCATTGCTTTGGCTCTTTGCCCCAGGCTGTGCTGCTGCCTCAGACTTGCAGGGTGAGGGCTGTGAGGTGATGCCAAGGGCTGCCTTCCACCCTTCTCCACACTGTGAGTGCCTGCAGGCCTTTCTGCAGGGTAGGAGCCACCAGGATTATTCATGCTTCCTCCTGTCCTTGGTAGCAAAGGATTACCTGCAATGAAAGTGGGATTCTTCCCACTGCAAGCAATGTGGCTCCTGAGTAGTGCTTTGCTGTTTAACCAGAGAGATGGATTTTGCAAATAAGCTGGAGGAGGAAGTAGTGGCACATTATGCTTATGTTTTTGTGATTTGTTTTTTGTTGTTTTCCTTTAACAAAACCAAGCTTCTTTTTATATGTCAGTCATTTTTATTGTACTGTCATTTTGTTTGTTGTCACATCTGTCTCATTTTGCTGCTTATTAGACACACATTAGATATTCAAAATCAATCACTGGCATTCTTGAGATTTCATAGCAACAAATTGTACTACAGAGAGAGAAAGAGGGAGGAGCAATGTTGTGCAGGAATAATGTCAGTAATGCCAGGTATTTCTGTGAGACGGCAACTATTTTCTTTGTAGTTGTCATTCTCTCGCAAACAAGGAAGGTGTGCTCAGACTTCATCTCCAACAGCACTTGTTAGGGGTGAGTGAATGTTTGTGTTAACTGTTCTGTGTTGCCTCTTCACCTCTGGGGAGGGAGATTGTGCCACCTCAGAAGCCTTGCTAAAAGCTTCTATGATTTGAACTGAGAGGATGCTTTCTGTGTGGTCTGTTTCTTGGAATGGCACTTAGAAACTCTGTGAGCCCAGAAAGGGATCAGGCTTAGTCAGGACTGGATGATGAGCAATTAATAGTTAGAATAAACAAACAAACAAAACAAAACAAAAACCCAAACAATATGCCACAGATAGAATATTCTAAATAACACAAGATTTTTCTGTATCTGGTATATCAATACTTTAGTTCCTCAAGCCAGCTCTGAGGTCACAGATCAGTGAAGGACAAAGAGATGATCTGTTTTATGCTCCTGCTTGCCTGGAATACTTGTTATTTCCTAAAGCTTAGAGAGGGTCTTTTCTCAGGTAGTACAGCTCCTCTAGAGTAGTCTAATTTTAGTCAGACATAAATGAAATATCTTTAAAGACTCTGTGGGGTTTTTTTGTTTGGGTTTTTTTTGGTCCATACTGATAAGAATTGCTTTGATTCTTTGATGTCCTAATAAAATCCTGTGTGTTTTTAAACGCGTGACAGACACTCAGCCAATTGACATAGTTTACTTGTTTTTATCAAACCTTTGAGCAAGTCCTGCATACCTGTGAGTCACCAGAGCTGTTGTTCTGCCCCAGGCCATCCCTCCAGGCCTCCAGCTGTTGTCCATGACCTGCAGCTCATGAGTTACAGCTGCCTACCTGGTATGGATGTCCCTGACACACTAATTGAAACACACATGGAACAAGAAACCTTGCATTTCAGCAGGATTTATAGGTTGTTTATGGCATCTTTGTGGTTTGCTGGTGCATGGGTTTTGGCCATCCAATTCTTTTCTGTGCAGCAGAAGACTGCATCTGCTGAATGTCAACTTGTCAGTAAGGATGCACAGCTTCCACTCCAGTTTACTGGAGATGTCTGAGAATGAGATGTTCTTGATATTTAGGTATGTGTAGTGTGGATAAGTGGGTTATGGCCAGCTATATTCTAGCTTCATCCATGGTTTGAATTATAGTTGGCAAAGACAACTCAAAGGTATCCATTGTCACGATTGCACAGCTTCTCCTTTGGCACCAATTTATCTTAGTACAGAATAACCACAGAAGGTGACTGGCAAAGATGGCAAACAGAGAGGATAAATGTCAAATCAGCATTCAGTGAGGAAGATGAAGAAGGTGTGATGAATCAAACCCTAATGGATCAGGTAATGCCACTATGGAAGGCTACCTGGTAACAGCAGTGAATTTCAGGACTTCTGATCAAGTAACCAGGAAATCATTCAGTTGCCCAAGGGCTGATACTCCCTTTTTAGTGCCCAGGTGCCAAGGCAGTTTCTATATTGGTGGAGCACCTTGGTTTAACTGGCAAGAGAATGGAATCTGGCATCAGTTGTGGTTACTCTACCATCATCTTTAATTATTGTATTTTTATTCTTTGTTTATGTCTGTGTAGGCAAGAGCCAAAATTGATTATATAGCCTAAAATGCTGAAGGCAATCTTCAAGTAACCTCCCATGTACTAAAGGAAACGAGATTTTTAGATGTGCTGTTTTGCTGTTACTGTGCTGCAGTGCCCATTGTTTTCATCAGCTAGCAGGGGAGAGTCTGCAGAGCAAGGCTGGAAAGGAGTTCCTTGGTCATTTTCAATATAGAGTATTCCCTTGTGCATCACATGAGAGTCCACCCTGGTTAACCTAGATATTAGAGGGGTGATATGGATGGTATTCAACAGTATTTATTTGCATTATGGCATACAAAAATATGTGTTATGTAAGAACACTCTTTTTAAAGAAGCTTTTGTAGTGATTGTTGTGAGATACTCTCAATATTTTCTTACAGCTCTAGTGTTTACTCCGTCAGGGTGCAGTTTGACACAGCTGGGTCCCCGCTCATGCCTTGCTGACAACTGAAAGAGATTTGTTTTAACTTCAGGAACCACGGCGTCCCTCGCAGGACAGTGAATGCAGCAGTGGACAGCTGTAGCTCTGCAGTGCCAGAGACTGTGCTTGTGCACAGCTGAAAGGACACCTTGTATTCCAACCTGTTAGCAGGGCCTGTCGGGATAGACAAGGGGTAATGGCTGCAAACTGAAGGAGGGTCAATTTAGGCTAGGTATAGAAGGAATTTTTTTTACAAAGAGGATGGTGAAACACTGGAACATGCTGCCCAGAGAAATGGTGGATGTCCCATCCCTGGGCACACTCCAGGTCAGGCTGGACAGAGCTCTGAGCAATCTGGGCTGGTTGAAGGATGTCCCTCCTCGCAGTGGGGTTGGATGAAGGGACCTTTAAAGGTCCTGCCCAACCCTGACGAGTTTATGATTCCACAATCCCGTCGCTAGTTAAATGCACTTTTCTTTCAGCAAGCCGGCTCCTGTGGCTTTTCTTTTCCTTCTTTCCCCGTGTTTCTGAATATACCTCGCTGCCTGGCACATTCTGCAGGCCAAACCTGTTCTCTGCGCCGTAAAGCAGCGGCTGATCCCGGCTCCAGGAGGCTCCTGCAGTGCATGGAAACACGAGCATCTCCCAAAGGCGCTCCCTGCACGGACTGTGCTGCCCAGGGACACTGGGTCAACGGTGCCACCTGCCGGGGCTCTGCTGGAGCTGCCAGCCGCCTCCTGCAGCTGGAAAATGCTCCTCCTGCAGCTGGGAATGCCGCCTCCTGCAGCTGGGAATGCTCCCTCCTGCAGTTAGAAAATGCTCCTCCTGCAGCTGAGAATGCTCCCTTCTGCAGCTGGGAATGCCGCCTCCTGCAGCTGGAAAATGCTCCTCCTGCAGCTGGAAATGCTCCCTTCTGCGGAGGACGAACGGAGTGTGCCGTGCCGGCAGCCGAGCAGCACAAGCCTCCCACCAAGGCTGTTTTAAGACGAGCTTAGAGAAAAGAGGCTTCCAGAAACTGGGGAAGGAAAAGGATTCTTGGACTAAATCTGCTGTTGCCTTCTCCTTTCCCCAGGAAAAAAGCCACCATTGCTGTGGACATTTGTCTCAAGCAGATACAACTGGCCTGTGCTTTACAATAATTGTATTCTGTACGAGGTGGTTTTGCTCATATTCATTCCTCTGTGCCCTCAATGTCCAATTTAGCCAACCCATACTTGCATCAAATAGAAGAGTTAGTATCTTCGTGCTCCTAAGAGGTCCGTAGCACTCTGAGGATAGTTAAGCATCCTCTTCTTTGTTGCATTAATTAATTTCCTTTATCTATATAATGCAGGTAAATTTCTTAGGTGTATATCAAAGACTAGACTGTCTTAACACAAGTAGGTGAAATGGTGTTTCAAAGCGCTTATTATTTAAATAGTTTCAACTCGCTAAACAGCTTGAGTTCCTTCAGCTTTTCCATTTAATTTCCATCTATCCAGGATGGATATATGTGTGTCTGTGTGTGTATAAGGTGAAAAATACACTTTTTAAACAAAAAGAAATCTGCCAAGTGTAAATTAGTTAGTGAGACTTCTCCTTTCTCCCATCCCCTCAAGTGCCAGCTTAAAATATAAAAGGATCTCTACAGGCACAGAAATGCTATTTATACTCCCAGGAGTTGCTGAATAGGGAAGTTGAAAAGCAGATAAATCAGATCTCAATGTCTGATTTTAGTGTGAAACAAAATCTTGAACAGCAAAAGAAGAAAAAGATGTGAAGTTGAGGAGCAGGAGAATGTTGGGAAGAAGGGGTAGCCAATATTTATTCATTATGAAATTCTTTGAATTACAAGAAGAATTTTTTTTCAGGAAGATTTTGTGTTTTCTCTGAGAGCTTCCTTGGCGCAGGAAAGGATTTCCTTTCCCTGGTTCAGCTAAAGTAGACCACTTTGTACTGTGGGCTATTATTAAGGTGCAACTTCAGCACAGATGCATAATTGCTATTATAATGCATTAATTGCTTCAAGAATTCATTCATTATAATAGTAACTCACAACTTTAAAAGAGGAAAATAATGACTGTACAAAAACCACGATAAAAGCAAAATAAATCAGGTGTAAGGAAGACTATTTGTAGTATAACTACAAAAGAAATTATTTTTTTTTCCAATGATAGATGCAAAGAAACCTGAGATATTAAAATCACTTTTTTAGTTATACAATCATTAAAAAAAAAACCAACCTAGTAATAAGTGTGATTTGTTCTGTTTTCTTGCTTTATCTTGGTTCAGGAAGAAATTCTGAAATAAATTATATAAATAAAATAAGATCTTTTAGTAACAGACAGAATTAAATTGCTGTCCCCAGAAACTGCAGACAAGCCAGCCAATCTCCAGTTTTTATAGCTTGCAATTCACCAAATGCCAGTTGTGGAAATCTCCTTCCTGTCTGTCACTCAGGTTGCTAACAGTGACATCCCTTTATGGACTCGTACCCTTTGCACTTGCTATTCTTTATTTCTTTTTTTTCCCCTCAGAAGAGGAGAAAGCTTCCAAAACCTTCATGGCTGAAGCATGCCATATTTTCAGGAAGGAATAATTCTGCCTGGAGTGAAATAACACATTTGTTTTGGTGACTTGCCAATCCCCAAAATCCCTGTGGGTATCAATATCTAAATGTTAGGGGATTTTGTAGAGGTTTTGTAGGTTTGGTCTGTCAGCTTGGCTGTACAACAGCTTTGCTACATGGTTAGAATTCTCCTTATTTGAATCAAAGCTTTTGCTCCTGATGGTGTTATTTTGTTTAGCTATGGATTTCCACATGCTGTCTTGGTCTGTTACTGCCCAGCCTGCGATTCTGTTTTTACACAATGTTGCTAAGCTGGCTCTCTGACAGGAATACAGTCAGAGCTGTGGGCTGAATTCTGTTCCTTCCCTGCTAACTAGTCTGCGGAAAGAAAGAAAGAGTTCTCATCCTCTCCTCTCTCTCGTGTGCTCTGGCTTCTGTCAGCCCCAGGATTTTGTGAGGAGGTGCCCTGTTGCTCCTTAGCAAAGCTTTCCCTGGGGTACCCTCCCTTTTTATTTATTCCTCCAGCAGGATCAGTGAAGGCATGAATGTGTCGGTCTCTGGAACAGATGCCACAAATCAGTCTAGCACTTCTTTCTAATTTTAATGGAGATGAGCTACTTGTTGTAATTTCTTGAATCTCTCATTTAGGATGTAGAGAGGCAATAAATCTTAAAGCAACAAACATTCCCAAATCCCACACTTTGAAGTGAATGGGAGCTCCTGGCTCATCAGCACTTTTCGGAAACAAGCTGCTCAACTAGGTGTCCGAAGCCATTACAGTCTTTTCTTTTTTTCTTTCTGAAAACTTTGGTCTCAATATTTGAGGGAATATACAACAAACAGTTTGCACAGTGTGAGTAGTGCTTCCCTAAAGAGCCTCAGACAAAGCCGTTGGATACTGTAGCATCCAAACTCAGCACTCCTGAGTGCCAAGCCAAGAGTTTGCCTTGAAGATTACATTTATTATTAAGTTTTGTTTGGTGTGAGGAATTTGGGAGTTTTTGCTTTCAATGTTGTTATTAAAAAAACCCAAAACAAACCCAAGAAAACCTAACCCAAATATCAGGCTTCTTGTGATTTTTTTTTAATTGGTTGGGACATTGTTTGTTTGTTTGGGTTTCTTTAAGTTTATTCTATCAGTACTTTACATCTTCTCTTTTGAAAACTTACTATTCCTTGACTGTGGTGTGGAAGAGTCTAAACAACTGCTATAAATATCTGCTAAAATGTTTCTCTGCAGAGTATAACATAGCTAAATGTATGCAACATGTTATTATGTTCTTATTCTTGCTTTCTCATTTTTGCCTTGAGTTGAAAATTCAGTTTAACTCCATAGTCTCCATAGATGAATGAGTTCATCAAGCTGTCTGCTGTTACTTGAATTGGAGACTATTTTTAAATAACAAGTACATTTTTTCCATAAACTATGTAGGCAACATAATGAAACATAGATTAAAACCAGATCAATTTCTGAAAAATGCTTGCAAGTGGGTTAGGAAAGGAGGGGAACAAACACGAAAGTAGTATTGCTTATCATCTATTAATGGGTCATATCTTGGCAAAAGTGTTTAGATTTCACCTCAGGGTAAGCTCTTCAGCCTGTTGGCTGGCTTTTGAGGGCTGACTCATCCTGGCAGCAGCCTTCAGCAGCCTGGCCTGTTGGAGCAGCCCATGTGGTATGGGAGTCATGTTTAAATGGCACAGAACACTTCCTGTGACAGCACTTTGTGGTGATCTCAATGATCTCATTGTGGGCAAGTGCTCCTGTTTTGTGTTGGGGGTTATTCTGTCCGAATAATCTTGTATTATTATCTGTGTGGTCACAGTAGCACAGGATTTTGGGGGGCTCACATGTGCCCAGGCACTGCAAAGAAGGTAAGAGCTGAACTACACTGGTGGAGGAGGTGAGGGGTGTTTGCTGGGCTGGAAGTGTGATGCTCTGCTGGGTGTGTAACCCAGCAGCACTATTTGTGTGTTGGGCCTTTGGCAGGCTGCAGCAGGGCCATCAGCAGTCTGAGTTCCCCCTTTGTAGCCACACAGTCCACACCTTTATAAAGTGGATGCTGGAGCAGCCTGTTCCTGAAGGACTGTGCCAGGGCCCCATGCTGCAGCAGTTCATGAAGAACTGCAACTCTTCTCATGAAGAGAACTTCATGAGGAGGGTTCACTTTGGAGGAGCTCATGGAGGACTGGCTCCTGAGGAGGGGATCCATGCTGGAGCAGGGAAGTGTGAGGAGCTCTCCCACTAAGGAGGAAGAATTAGAAGAAGCAACAAGTGATGAGCTGACCACAGCCCCCATTCCCCAGCCAGGAGTAAAGTTAAGCCCAGGAAGAAAAGGTGGATGGGGAATATGTGTTCTTATGATTTGGTTCTATTTGCCATTATCCTACTTTGATCTGATTGGTAAGAAAAATAAACTAATTTCCCCAAATCAAGTCTGTTTTTCTATGATAGTGGGAGAATTGAAAAATCAAAGGAAAGGCAGTCAATATAGAGCAAGATAGACAAAATTCATCACCTCTCACTGGCAGCCTTACAGAGGTCAGCAAAACATGGTTAGCATCCGTGGGAGGTAGTAAGACAATTAAATAGATTTAGGATTTGGTTTTCTGTTTGAATGTTAAATTGAAATGTGTATGTTTGTCACAGAAAAAAAATTACATTTGTGGGTTTCACTTCTCTGTTATTCCTACATAGGAAAAATATACTTCCATGATGCAGGTGAAATCAAGATTGTTGTTGTAAACCTAAACAGCCCAGATCAAATAAGCGAAGTTGTGTCTTGGGGTTTTCTCTCTCCCTTCTCTCGTCAGTACTGCTTCTAGACCCTTTAAGATTCTTCTTCTGGGATGCTAAACTTTTTCTCCATTGGTGAAAAAAGTGTGGGTTTTTGTCAGGGCAGTCAGCAAACTTACATTGTCTTAAGATGCTGTGAAGAGAATTTTGCCAAGGTTAGTTTCCTTGCTGACCTCATCACGTTGACCTTAGGGTAAATTTCATCTTCCCAAAAGGAATAGTTTGTTATTATCTTGGGGTGAGCCCATTCTGTGGTTAACACTGAGAGAGTTCTGAGCTACAAACCAGTCCTGAGTGGACTGATAGAGAGAGGAAGATAAGGGTGAAGATGGCTTGCTTAGGTGTCAAAACTGGTGAGAGGCAGCAGGGCAGAGGACTCAGGTTGTGGCTAGTGATGGTAGGATACACACAGTGTCCCAGAGGAACTGTCACAAATTTCCACAATGGTGGAATTGTTGCAGCCACTCTGATATTTGGGACCCTGACAGAAGAGATCAAAATTAACTTGTGTTTCCACAGAAACACTATCATTTCAGTTTTGATAGGGTTCAAATCACTTCAGTTTTGCAGGGTTGGCCATCACCTATAGATCATGTGTGTTTTCTAATAGTTCAAGTATCTTGGACCCCTCCCAAAAGGCATTCAGTGGATTCTGTTACTCCCATGTGATCTTTAACAGCTGCCACGGGTCAGAATTTGAACTGAGCCTGTCAAGGTTGATGTGAATGTTAGGTAAGCCACTGGAAGAAAGCTGGCTTGATTTTACATGTGTGGGAAGCTCCTGGGCAGAGGGTCATAAATGCTCTGCTGGTTTCAAAGATAGTGCTTGAACCAGGAACACAAAAGGGCTTTGGAGCATTGTCTGAACAGCACCCAGAGGGCTGCAGGACATTTGCCCAAGGGCTGCAGGCACACGTGCCCTTCACATCTCACAGCCTACACTACAGAATGTGACCAGCAGTGCATTTATTTGTATAGGAGAATAGAAAATAAGTAAATAAAGGTAGTATAGAAAGTAATCTTACCACCTAAGGAGTTGCAGCTGGGTTAATTATCAAAGATTAGGAGCAGGCTGACTTTAACAGGCCATAGCTGCAGACAATAATAAGAAGAGTGCTATAAGAGTGGGTTGGTTGGGGGAACTGGAGTCAGTTGGCTGCTGTGAGGACAAGGAAGAGTCAGTGCCTAGAGGAGCTGGCTGTGAGAAACATCAAGGAGATATGAAACTCCAGCAATATGGAACCCTTGCAATGTAATGACAATAGAACTCTTGTGCTATAATGGCAACGCATTTGTGTTTTGTATGTTACACTAGTTATATCTGTGTGCAGCCTGCATAGTAGCGCAACAGATTGAGCTCTGGTTTATGTCCACTTTGTGAAGACTTTAACATTCCTCTTTTGACCCTGACATTTTAAGTCCTGCAGCTAGGAAGCCGAAGTAGATTTTGCAAGTGTACTTACTTGACTTGCTGCTGTTCTTTCAGTGTCACTGTAACCAGATACACAAACATCAAGGCCCAGCCTTCAAGACCCTGTGGAGGTCCCCTAGGCCTCCTCCCTCTGCAAGAGAAGCCGGTGCCTGAAGCTCTGGACCTTCCTACTTGTCATCCAAAGCGGGATTTCCAGCCTTGTGAGGAGGGTGGGCAGCTCGTGTCCAGCACAGAGACCATGTGGGCAGGTGAGATTTACAGAAGAGCATCTCCATGGGAGCTATGGTGGCTGCAGTTGTGTGAGAGAGGAACATCCCCTTGGAGCAGCACAGGTGCCCATTTCAGAATGTCCTGGGAGACTTTCATGAGAGCCCTTTGGAGTCAGTTGCAGGGACACAAGGGCATCTTGAACCATTTGCAGGCATGAGACATCTTTGGGGGGCACTTTGCTTCTGCTCTGCTCATTCTCTTGAGGAGAAGGTCAAGGGAACAGATGGAACTCCCTAAGCAGAAATTACAGGAAAGGGGAGGGGAATCTAATTTTGTCAACTTTCAAATTAATGGCTTACTCTGTAATTTCAGAACTATACTCATTTATTTCACTTTAAGAAATAGAAATGCATCCATGTCTTCAAGCTGACAGATAAGAGCAACTGATGAGTGACAGCTGTCCATTTTTTTTGTTGATGGCTGAAGTCGTTGTCAGGAAAGCCTTGAAATGACAGAAAGAAGATTGAAGCTGAGACTCATCCCAGGACAGGAGAAGATATTTGACACAGTTTTACAAGTAACTGTATGCAGACGTGCTGGTCAATTGACCAGACTGAAAATATATTTATATTGAAAAATATATATCTCTATCTATCTACATATTTTTTTTGAGATGCGAAATGCTTAAGCTATATAGAATTTTTTTAAAACAACAAGAAAACTTCTTGTTGTACTTCTTAAGTTTCATCAAAGCAAAAGTTAATAAAAGGCAGAAGCTTCTGTAACGACAGGTTAAGAATAATCACAATTTTCCAGAATTTTTATTTCAAATTAAAATGAAAATAATCTGTGCACTGTGAGGGGTTTTTTTCATTATTTTTTAAATTCCGTTTTGCATTGCTGTTCAAGTAAAAGGCCTTTTTTTAGTGTCGGATGATGAAAAAGGTCTGTTCTAATCTCTTTTTGTTGTTCAAGAAATATGAAAAAAATCCCCAAGCTGAAATGGTGAAAACAAAGTTTGTTTGGGGGAGAAAGTATATGGAAGCCTTGCTTGAATGTGTGGCTAAATTAAATTTTAGGATATGTGGCACCAGATACAGGAGATGTAATTTTTGGATTATGTTTTAAATGATAAAGAGAAATTTGGATAAATACATAGTTGAGATTAGTTTTACCTACTATTTTTTCATTTTTGTTTTTATTGCTTTTATAAATTTTTCAGTGTTGTTTTAAGAAGATTTAACTTTGAAATATCTCTGCAGTTTACAGCTAGATAGACTCTCCTTCCAAGTTTTCCATGGGATGTAGCAAGCTGTTGAAATAAATGCTGCCAATTTCTGTTCTTTTGATAGCAGGATTGTTTTTTGTGACCTAGTAATTTGTGAGGGTTTGCAACTGAGTGGCCTCATGTTGCTTGTAAGGTTACCAGTGAAGAGCAAAAGCTGCTCCTAGTTAGTCTCAAAGGCTTGGGTTCTATTTCAGTCCTTTGAGGGTTTACTTAACAGAGAAACATTACAGCAAAATTAACAGCCTAACTTTGCACAACATTCTCATCTGAGCTTGTAATTAAAAAATATGTTGTCTGATTGACCCCCTGTGTGAGAGGAAATAAATCTCCTGCTTAAGACAGCTATTATATCTGGTGCCACATATCAGGTTGTCTCTACAGGTCCCTGTCAAAGCAGAGTTGTAGGCTTATTAGCATCCTATTAATATGTGCATAAAATGTAGTCTGTGTCTGAGCCCAAATACACAAGCTGGGAAATCAAAGAGAAATCCTTCACACCTTTTGCTGGCTTCATCCTGAACTTTTATTTAGCTTAAAACAACTTCCTTAAGAGAATTTCCTCTTCTAAAGGAAACACTTTTCTCCATACTTAGCAGGGGAATAGTGCATTGAATTATTTTTGGAGTGACACAGTCACATTGGGAGAGAATTGCTTTAATCATGACATATGAATCCTAATTTTATCTTGTGTAAAATATCAATCAATTTGAAAAGTACTGATGCATCTGTGCCTTTTTTTTCTTTATAGGTAAAGGTTAGGGAAATGGTGAGCAGAGAGTATTTTCACTTGTGTTCTATCAAAGTCTTATCAAGAAAGTGTTACAAAGGCTGCTCTGTGTTACGAGTTTTGCTTTATTTATACGAACAATAGCAGCATACTTGTTTCTGAGTACTTTAGGGCTTTATTAACTACAAAATTACCTCTAAAGTTTGGGTCATTTTCATACTTAGATATTGCAGTGGGAAAACCTTGTTTTTAACAGTCATTCTAATTTAGAATTCCCTCTGTTTAGCTTATGTTGGTAAGCAATAGATTTAGACTGAATTAACATAAGTCACACTAAACTGAAATAAAAGTTTTGTAAAAGTTTAAAATTCAGTGTTTAGTTTAAGCAAGAGCTGAGAGTTGCAGGTGGGGAAGGAATAGGATAGATGCTTGCACGCGCCCTTTTTCTGGTTGCCAAGTCTCAAATGTGCCTCATGAACTGTTAGGAATTGTTTTAAAAAACTTAGGTGAATCTGTTAAAGCTCCAGGGCTAAGAAAACCTTCCTTTGGTAATGGAGGCTGATGTGCTTTTAAAATCAAACCTATCAAGCTATTTATGTTCTTGAAATAAATCTAATGCAACAGTTCAGTTTCCAATAGCTTTATGTTGTTCAAACCGTCAAAAGTCTTTTTTAAAATTTTGTTCTTAGAGATTTTTCTCCAAAGTATTTTTTCCCTTTATTCTCTGACCTGCAGCTGCCAGTGAAAGTGATCCCTGAATTGCCTGCAGCTCCTGTCCTGCAGAACCAGCAGCCTCCAGGCTTCCCACACTCATGTGCCAATAGGTCTGGAAAAGTTGCTATATCCAATTACTAAGTTGTCATAACAATTTGTAAAAGTATGTTAATGCTTCTTTTTGCAGGAGTGCCTCACACATTGTTGCTTGGGGCTTCCACAGCATTATTTCCCATTATATCTTATGTCAAACAAACACATGGGTGACTGGAAAATGCAGACCTCCTCTGCCTGGGCCTGCACACACAAGATGGTTGAACTTTTGTAGCCTTCTCCACTGTGTCATGTGGCCCTCAAAGCCTAAAAAGAAGCAACAGTTAAAATTCTCTTCTAGTATGTAAAGTTTGTTAAAATTATATGTTTTCCACAGTGAGTTATATACATGGATTTAATATAAGTGTGGAAATTAAATTAGATTTAAAAATAAAAACGAACTATTTATTTTCTGCCCAAGATCTACCTGTGAGGGAGACTACACTTTTAGAAACTAAGAGCTCAGCTCTTTTGTTGTAAAGGCCTGTAGATGTCTAATTTCACTCGTGTCTATTTGCAGGCATGTTTGCATGGGTATGGTGTGTCCTGGAGTGTTCTCGGTATAGAGCAGGAGAACAGCAATGGTGATGAAAATAAGAATATTTAATCAAGTGACCATGGCTACTGACAAACTTTAAATTGGCTTTATGCCAACTGTTTTAAACTGGAAGTATTTGAGATACACTGAAATATTGCTATTGATATTTATGTAGCAAAAGTCTTTAGAGCTAATTGCCTCAGACCTGCTTTGAAGTGAGCCTCCAGCTGCTCACCTTTGGCACTTGGAGGCTCCCATGATGGAGTGGGGCTGAGGTGGGATGGATGGACTTGCTTTTCCCTGTGTGTGCCAGCTGCCAGTGGCTGTTCTGGTCCACAGCTCCATGCTAGAGGTAGCTCAGAGTTAAAAAAAAAACACCTAGGTGCGTGCTGGGCCCTCAGCACTGACTTTCATTCTGCATGTTCAGCCTCCTCTGTGCTGTGCTGATGCAGATGTGTACAGGGATGTGCTCCCAGATTCTGCCTGTTTCATTAATCTTAATGCATCTTATGAGGTGTGACACTCCTGGTCCTCTGGAGTAATTTGTACTGATGAAGTCTGTATAACTTAAAATCTTTAGCTTGGGCATGCAGTTCATTGGTGTATTAGCAGATAATCACTCATTTTTAATCTCGATAGCTATTTATTTTGAGGAAAAAAAAATAACCTAAAGACTGCAGGCTTGGTTATGATAGACTGTATTAAAAATGAAAGTGTGTAGGACTAAAGGATGGTAATTTTGTATTTTTTCCCAGATGCTTTCTTCAGAAGAAAAGAATTTGGAGAATGTTGAGGAAGAGGGGAAAAGTGCAGGAGAAACGGAGAGCTGGATCCTCATCTAACAGAGGACCTGCATCTGCTTCTCTGTTGGATGTAGCGGGTAGTACAAGAAAACCCCCATAACGCTTTGTCTGTAGTGAAGCAATGCACCAAAAGACCTGTTTTAATGCTTCAAATTCAGCACCCCTGTGAACTCCAATCTCACACCTGCTCCGTGCGAGATGGGTTATGGAGAGTGGAGACAAGCGGGTGCATCCAGCGGAGCCACTGCTTTGCTCCTCTCCCTGCCTGCAGGACAGGCTCTGGCTGCCTGTGAGCTGGTGTGGCTGCAGACTGGGGCTGTAAAACTGTGCTGTGTGACCTGATGATCTCCCTGGAGTTTCCTGGTGTTTCTGTTTTATGGTCCTTTCACACCTTCCCAGCCTTCCCAGTGCTTGCACGACTGGAATGCAGCACCAGACTCCAGGCCAAGACAGGTGAAATGCTTGTAAAGTAACTGGGAAATGAAAGATTTTGCTCCCCTCCTCACCCATTTTGGATTTCCATGGGATTGCTAGCATGACAGGGTTATAGTTATATTTGAAGGAGCACAAGATGTGAATCACTGTGTGTAGGCTGGTATTTCAAATGTGACTGACAGTTGCTTTTCAACACTTGAATATCAATATGGTGCTGGTAGGTATCTGTGAATCTTTTCAACTGGCCACAGCAATGCAGAGAAAGGCAGATCTCACGTCCACGTTCTACTTGCTTTCTGGTATCAGGCTCTAACTTCTGGAATTTAGAACCACTTTTAGTCATAATGTCATTTAATCGTGTCTTTATGCTTTCTTCCCCTTTTGTAAATAATTGACATGAGAAAGGAAAATACTAAAGAGGGTGGTGGTAGAAAATGAACAGTGAAAAACAGTAAATGCAATGTCTGCCCCTTTCTCTACCTATTTCTGAGTTTAGTTTATTCAGAGCATGTGAAGTAGCACATTGTCTTTTCCATGCAGGGAGAAACTGTGACTGAAGATGATATATGTTACCAGTACGAGTCTGAATTTTTCAATTTCTTTAAGAGTTAGCCTTGTAATAATGCCAGGTGTGAATCTCATCCAAGTATTCAATATTTTGCCCTATTTAATTTAACTATTAGTGTTTTAAAAGAACTTGCAACTGTGTCCAGTTGTGCTGAGCAGATTTTTGTTTGGAGATATTTGCCTGTGTGGAATGACCTGCATTTATAGGCAGCAAATGCTAACACACACTTAACTGGCATGGAGAAAAAGAAATGGTGCCACTGGTTCCAGCGGTGCAGGAGATACCATTGAGAGACACTGCTGGTGAGAGCTGTTCTTACTGTCTGCAGGGATGCTGTGCAAAACCTGAACAGAACCTTGAACTGCTGAAGAACAGCAGATGTGGAAAACTTTTGTCTCCAACTGACACTGTGGTGTCAGGTGAATGGAAGCAGTGAGCTGAACAAGTGCCTTCCCTGGGTTAAATTTCATTTCCGATCTCAGGAATGATGGCATGTTCCCACCTTTCCTCTTTGGCAGCACTGACAGATCTGTCCTTTACTTGGTAGCATGCTCCCACTAAATGTTACAAGTGTTTTTGTATGTGTTCTGTCATACTTAAATGGCTAACAGGTTTGCAACAGACAATTTCTTAATAGTCAGAATGTGAACCTCATTTTCTTGGGAAAATAGAACAACATTATTTCTTTATGAAAATACACAAAACTTCCACAAATTTCTGACTATAATAGACATAGTGATCTACAGTTTGAATGAGGGTATGAGCTGGTTTTGTTTGCATGGGAAATTTAAATTTTGACTTTCTTTGTAAGCCCAATATAATGGGAATTTTCACAAGCATGTGAATCTTTATAATCCTCCCTAATCTTGTAGCATGGGATTCCTCTCAACATTAGCTGCTAAAAGTTAAGTATCTCTCCTAAGGGAGTAATCTGGGAAGTAATTCCCCACCCTCCCCCAGCAGATACCATGCCAGGGATTCATCTCACCTGTTTTACTCACCTATCCTAGAATGGGATAAATGGCAACCTGGAGACACTTATCTCTCTTTCTTGACTACAGAAGGAGCCTGGATGACTGGCTTGGACAAACCACCTGATTTCTAGGTGGCTGTAGAGCAGGGGCACTCCCTATTTTGGCCTTAGAGTATAAGATGTAGTTTTCAAAGATATATTCTTAGTGCTGAAAGGGTTGATAATGTTTATGCACTCATTGTGCAAATAACACCTTTTTTTACTAGTTGGTGTTTTGTGTATGGATTCATGTGCACTGAGATGATCAGTATTTAGGTGTGTTATTTTCTGTCTCAAATTTTTTTCTGAGAAGCACCAAGGCAAAACTGAAATGTGTGCATGAGGTAAGTTACAGAAGGTTCCCTTCTGAGCCAAGAGGAATCAGACAGGTACTGAGTTTCTCTACCTTGGTGGCCACAGGGTCTCCTTGAAGTGCCGAGCAGCAGCAGTGAGGAGTGAGGGGCTTTACATTTAGTACAAGTGGAAAGTAAACTACTCATTTGCTGATGTCTGCTTTGATTTTTTTTTTCAAACAGCAAAAAAACAGTGGAAAAAAATTATTAAAAATGAAGGAAAATCAAAGAGAAACATGGAGAGCTCTGAATTAGCACAATTTTGATCTGCTTTCCTTGTAGTCTTGTCATGCCAAAAGCATCAAGAAACTCTCAAGCTTCAACTGGTAATGTTTTGGTTAACTTGCATTTGGCAAGATAGAAACAGAAATGGTACAGGAGAGCACCCTGGCTGTGGATGGCTGTAAGACAAATGTTGATTTAGTGGAGCAGAATGGGTTGTTTCACCCACATTGTTTTATATCGTGACAATTGCTGAGAAGATCCCTCAATTCTCTGGGCTGGACTCTTGATTTTCCTCTGCTTTTTGCAGTGCTATAATGCCATTAAAGTACTTTGTCATTTCAGAAAAATAGTGACAAGCTGGTAAAATCTTAGTTTGGGAGATTGTAACCTGCTTTGTTATTTTCTTTTTTACAATTTCAATGTAAAGGTGAAAATCTCAGTTTGTATCACATTTCAGTAAAACTCTATGCTTCCTAAGTGAAGAAGTAAGGCACAATCTACGAGTGACTTTAAAAGGCTTGGGTAATTTATTGAGGTTTTTTGGATAGGAGATACAAAATATTTTACAGTTGATATAAGGATCTCAAAACTGTATATATTTCGTACAGTGGTTTTGGCTGAAATAGAATATATTTTTTACTCTTTTTTAAATCTTGCAGACTTTGTTCTCAAAAGTAAGTCAATGTGCTTTTCACTCTGTTCTACTGGAAAAATTTGTGATTTGACAAAATAGTGTCCTTGTTGCAAAAATCTGAGAATTCACACATATTATCCTCAGTGAGCCCATTTGCCTGACATCAGCCATTGTGTTATGCATTCTCCTCCAAGAGAGAAGTTGAAAAGGAGTGAGAGAGAGACAAAGAGGAAAAGGATCACAGTATCTCAATTTTATTTTCTTTCCTGAAGAGTATTCTCTTTGGACAGACAGTAATTGTAGTTTCTAATGACACAAACTTGAAGGGAAACAGAAGAAGACTACAAACAGGTTTATGGGCCTATCAGCAGGAATATGTGGCTACAAATTGCAGAGTAAATGAAACAGCCTGTTGTTTCCTAAGCCTGAGTCTGTGAGTGTTATGCCAAAGTATTTGAGGAGGAGCTAGAGCACCAGGCGGTGTAAAGGATACCTGCTGGGCCCTAATTGGTGCCCACTGTTGTTAATGGCTTCCTGTGGCTGAATGTTTACTTGTCATTTGTTTTGTGCTTTGTTTCCCAGCTACTGGAAGGGAAAAAAAATACTGACCAAAACTTTATTTTGCTTTTAAGTGGACATCCTTGGACAGCAACTACCCCACTGCAAATTGTCTTGTACTTCAGACTACTCCTTAGTCCTTTTAGGCTTCTAAAGTTACATTTTCTTTGAATATTGTTTTTGAATTTGAAAAGGCAGCAGACATTTTTCAAGATATATTATTTATATATATTATATAATAAATTATATATTATATGAAATATATATTTATTGTGTACAAAAAATATGCAATAACAGTGTCTGGGATTTTGCCTAGTAGAAGGCTTTGCATGGTTGAACATTTGAAAAATACTACAGATAACACTGGTTTATTTATAAGCATCTGTTTTCCTAAAATGCCCATTTCTCTTATAAATCTCAATATTTTTTTTTTTGAATGTCTGTTGAAGATGAAGAAGAATGAAACCTTGCATGCTCAGAACTTCCTTACAGAAGAGTGCCCCTTATATGATACAGCTGCTGTCTGGTTTAGTGTTTTGTTTTGTTTTTCTTCTAATCCAAAGAGACCAAAAGAAAACTACACAGGTCAGTGTCTCAGACCCTTTTCTAATCCTGTTCTTGGTTTCCCTAACCAGAGAGCCTGTTAGTATCAGCCACAGTGTGAACACCTCCCTGCTGTGAAAAAGGAGTGAAACCTCTGTTTTTAACCAGGACAGCGAATACTTTGAGGGGAATCTCCACATATACATGTTACTGATGAAGAAGGAATTAGAACAGTAAAACATCCTAATCCTATAATCTTAAATCCTCTGCTTCTCCTACACTGGGATGTGGTGTTGGGGTACCTTTTGAGTAGTGTCAAGCAAAATTAGTTTCAGTGATCCTAGAGAACAACACAGACTTCTGGGAAAAAATAATTAATTTAGCAATTTATTATTACTGTGGGAATGTTTAGGTATCTGTCCTCTGTTCACAGGGGTGTACAGTTTGATATACACAAACATAAATGGTTGCAAAGACCTGAATCAGTGTGCGATAAGGCTGTTTTTGAGAGCCAGTCCTCTAGCAGGTTTCAGACGGTGTTTGAGATGCCCTCAGAGGCAGATGAGACAATGTGGGAGAATCTTTAATTGAAGTGCAGAGCACTTTGTCTGGGCATATAAATCTCATTCCTTGATTGCCACTGACTATGGTTTCAGCTCTGTTTCACCCACATATCTCTCCCATATGCATTTGGCTCATACACCTTGCAAGTGCACTCTCCACAGTGTATTATCTCATGTTATTTTGTGTTACCAACCTAGATAACACTGTCTGGAGCTCCTTTATCAGGCAGGGGGTTTGGAAGCTACTAAGACCTGAAGGAAATTTTACACAGTGTAGAAGATGAGGATTTAGGTATGGAGTTTCAAACATGTAATCTGTGCTGACCTAGGTACTGAGAGAGAGGGAAGGAAGGAGGCTTCCAAGTGTCCTTAACATATAGCCAGGCAGATTTTCCACTTTGCAGACTGATCTCAGGAAAAGCACAACTAATGTGGGAGCCCTTTCCTGTAATTCCTGAAGGATCTTGATGAGTAAGAAAAAAAAGCTGCTTTCCTCTGAGTGGAATGATGATGCTCAGAAAACAGCAAAGGGAGGGCTAAACCAATTTGTCCCATCTGCAAGGGAAAGCTTGGTATATTTTAGGGTATTCTCACTCCTTATTATATCTCTAGAACATCTTCTAAAATTTAGCAAGGTACTTGCTATCTTTTTTTAGTTCTTGGGTTTGAGTATTTACTAATCTAATATTTTCATATCATCTTTCTCAGACTGGAAGGTTGAAGAATAAACTACAGAACCAACAGGATTGTGAAGACTTTTGGCTGCTGTTTCCACTGGGCTGTAATAGTTAACAGCTCAAAAGAAAACCTGAGGATACAAAATCAAAAAGTTGAGTTTCTTACATGCTTGGTGGTAGTTGAATATTTAGGCAGTTTAGTTGAGGGGAGGAGGGAAAGGAATCCCCAAACCAAAACTGACTGTAAAAAGTGAGAGCAAGAAGGCAGCAAGAAAAGAAGCCAGATCTTTAAGTGTTGTAGGAGTGTGTAACTCATTAGCATCAATGGATCAGTGCTCATTTGTGTCACTTGAGAATCAAGCCCAGTAATATGGTGTTGTCCCTTTAGTGTAATTCTTCTCTCACTCTTTTTTCTGCTTGTTAAACCAAAAGCATCCCAGTCTCTAGAAAAAGGAAAACTGAACTACGTATTGAAAAGACACATGAAATGCTAAAGTGGAGAGTAATCCAATCTTTCAATTATTTAAATAAAAAAGAAGCCTCTATGCCAGAGTATGTAGAGAGTCTGATTAATTTGCTCAACATGTGAACAAGTGGTTTTCATGACTGACTGTACTACAGCATGATTATTCAAAGACATTATTCTTTGGGTTAGCATGAGAAATATCTTGACTTTTGGTTTTGACAGTTTATGTATGACTTGCTCATTCTGATCCTCTTAAAAGTCACTGAAATAAGGAGATCTAGTTCCTGGCTTTTGCTATCTTGCTTCTGCCTTAAACTTTTCCTATTTTTTTTTTTTCACATCTGTGTGTTGGTTTGTACCCTATTTTTTACAATAATCCTGCAAATATGGACTTGGTTTACCTCAGCTCTTTTATTAATCTAAATTTGCCTGTTGAATCAAGGCTACCAGATATATGAAATAGGGTAAAGGAGTTGATTAAAACTGTTCTCTTGTTTTTTGTTGAAATGTCTCAATCACTCTCAGTAGATCTGGAACACGGATTACTCTGCCTATAGCATAAAATGTCTTACACAAATATATGATTACTGTGATGCTAAGAAAATTTTTTAAAAAAGAGATAAATGCTACTCTAGGAACTGAGTACCCAAGTGCTGGAAAACTGTTAAAATGAAACCATTTCACATTACCAGTAAAATTCTGATTATGGTTTTTCTTTGACTTTAGAGGGGTGTCTTCCAAAAGTTTGCCTTCTGGTGGCTTTGTAAGATCCATTATGGAGCAGCTGGCCCTGGTTTCTCTAAGCAAAGGATGTGAGCAGCTGAAAAAGGCAAGTAACTTATGTTCTAGCTAAACAAAACACTTGTGCTTTCAAACAGCACTGCTCAGACTGGTGTTGTGCCACTCAAAGTCCCTCCTCCCTAAGCTGTGCTTCATGCAGGACAATAGAGGAGGAAGCTCCCATGATCTGCTGTGGCAGGAGACCTGTTGCCTCATTCCTTGTGGTTGGAATGCTTCTACAAAGGCAAAATTAATTATTTTACTGATAGATGTTTCCTGAAAATAAACATTCTTCCAGCAGAACAGCATTTTTGCCTGTCAAGCTGTGGCATCACTGTGGTTTTGCTAGACTAGTTGTGCCCCATGGTGATGGAATTGCTCCTTGTCTTCCCTGCAGTTTTCTTCAGCCAGATGGCTCCTGGCAAGGTTTCAATTCAGACCTAGGCTTAGGAACATGCTCATCCAGTGTCTCAGCTCTTTGTACCTTCTTCATTGTTCAGAATGATGCTTAACACCCTTGTAAACACAAGGAGAATTTGGGGTGATCCTTTCATTTTACTGTAAATTTGAGAAGGAACTCATGTACATCTGAATACTTTGGGAATAACATAGGTTTCTAGACTAGGAAAGTTCCCTGTCAGGTTCAGGGACCTGCTGCTCCTGATAAGGGTGAAGCCAAAGATCTAACGGAAAGAATTTTGGTCAATATATCTAGGTTTTTGATGTTCCACACAGAAACTAAGTGTCATGAAGGCAGTGAGAATGTTTGGGGGTGTGTAAGTTGAAGAGTGACACGGAGATAAGGAGGGAAAAAGTGCTTAGAAGAAACTTCATTGGAGTTTGCCCCAATCTTGCTATAACACCTTCCCTTCCAGCTCATGATGTCCCTGTGCAAAAGTGCTGTAAACTGAAAATGCAAAAGCGGCAGGTTTAAAGGATGGTGATGAAGAATGCTTGGAAAGACTCAGTAGCACACCCAGTTTTTAATTACATTAATCAAAGGGATTCATTCTGACATCTGAAAACTATTTTGATAAAAAAAAATCGCTTTTCATATAAGTTGGCGATGAAAAATGCTTGGCCGAAATAGCAGCAGGATATAAAGGAAACCAAGCATCTCCCATTTTTGCTTTAGGCCCCTTCTCACCTCCTCCCCTCAAGGGCCCTTCTTTCCCCTCTTTGTGTACAGTTCCCTGCAGCTGTGCCCTGCCAGATGAGCCGGGGCGGGCGCGTTCCTCACACCTCCGTGCGATGCGCTCGCCCTCCCTCCCAGCCTGCCAGACTTGGCAGCATTTCTTGGGCCAGCCTGTCAGGTTGCTGAGGATAAGTGAGGGTTTCATTTGCAGTTTGCAGTCTTTTCCTAAGAGAAGTCAAAAGGGGGTGTATGATTATGAACTCAGTAGTTCCATCCATCTATCTTTTCATGAAGTCAGTTCTGTCCAGAAGGTATTTCACATGTTGGGCCTACTAAGCTCATTTATATTGCAAGGGACAAAAATAACATCCCTTTACTGCAGCAATAAAAAATGTGTTGACCCTTGCTCTCTTGTAATCTTAAATCCAGATTATTTTTATTGTACATAGGTGATCATTTTATCTTTGAATTTACTGTTCTGGGCATATGAGTTGCTGTATAAATTGTCAAGGTTTTTATATAAATTAGGACACAGTTCTAGAATAGAATTTTTTATTTAATGTCTTTTACAAATTTAGAGCCTATTTATCAAATGTTAACCCATGCATAACCAAATTAAGCGGTTTGAAAGAAAAGAGATGTATGGGTTGTTTTTTGGGGGGGATTACAGAATAGGAATATTTGCATATAGGAATATATTTATATATAGGAATTCCTATATTTGAATATAGGAATGTACTTTATCCTGTATATTTGACAATAGGGCTGAAAGTTTTATTTGTAAATACAATAAGTGTATTACCCAACCCTTAACATTTCAGCAATTTGGAAAACTTAGCATTGATAAATGCTGGCAGTATTACTACCGGTTAAAGGTGTAGTTGTATAAATGAGGAGTGGTCTACCCAGTTTTGAAGACCATTTTGCAGTAAAGGAAGATAAGATTTTGAAATTATTTCTCTGTTTTTATTTTCTCACATTTTTCCCCATGATTCTAGTGATGGAACAGGAATCAGAAGTTAATTTTTCTTTCAAAGAAGTTTATTGGGCTTGAAAGGAAAATAAAAGTGAAATGGCTAGGGAGTGTTTTGAGATGAAACTTTAATTATCTTTTGGCTTAATTTTAATATACCTTTTTGATTTCCTTAAAATGAGGCAGGTGTTCTTAAGTGATACTCCATTTGATGTTGTGCCATGATACAGCTTTGTCCTCTTCTCAGAAGGGCTTACACCAAACACTTAAGTAACTGATCATCAGAACCACTTTTTCCCTAGACTTGTAGTGTATTCGTCACACAGACAAGGTATCAACATCAGCAATTATAACAGTGTTTGTGTAAAGGACTTTTCTGCTCCCCGTCACTCACCCATTAAATCTGTGGGTTGCTTTCTGGTTTGACTCAAGAGAGGTGGTGTAAGTTTTGCCCCCATGCCACAGAAGTGGCAGAGCTCCCACGTTTGTCTGATGCCCTCACCTCCAGTGGTGAAGAATGGCCTTGCCAAAGCCCAGCTCTCCCCTGGGCAGCTCCAGCTGGGTCCCTTGCAGCTGATGTCACTGTCGAGGCTGCACATTGCTCCTGTGGCAAGGATGCAGGTGACAAGCTAGATTTGAGCTAAAGGATTTAAGCTATAAGGCTGAGGCTTTTAAGGTGGCTTCTAATGTGAGAGGAAGAGATGACTGGTTTCATGTCATAAATGCTTTTCTTTTGATCAAAAGAGGGCTTCAGCCTCCTGTCCAGTCTCAGACCCAGTCCCTCTCCTTCCAGTTAGACCAGAGCAAACGTGCTGTGTGGAACTCTACAATGCATCATGTGATGCTCTTGCCTTTGGCCCACAGCATCCTGGATGATAACATATGGTATCTTTGGGCTGAAGGCTGGAAAATGGCTTGGATAAGCAAATTTCACTCTGCTTTCTCTCTTTGCACCTACCAGCTACATTCTCCAAGCTGGAGGCAGGAGTAGCTTGCAGTGAACCTCTCTGATGAGAGGACATCATACACAGAGGAGAGGGGCTCGGGCCACTGCCACTATTATTCCACTGCCATAAAAGCATGTTCATTTCCACTTTTACTGTCTGGGCAGACATCTCTATAAACTTCATCCATTCTTTTAATTACTTTTCATAGACTTCAGGCACCAGCAGATGTCTTTAGGAGGATTTAGATTAACTCTTGTGCAGTGTGCAGAGCTGGCAAGGAGAGCATGAAAGAAAGTTGAAATTGCCTGTTAACAGAGCAAAAGTGAAAACACACAAGTATAATTGTTCTTTATTTAAGGTAAAACCCACATGTGAACTACTGCCTAGTCTGGATTAGCTGCCAGGAAGCCAAGTCATGCACCTAGAGAAAGCCCTGGGTGATTCCCCTCCATGACAACACCCTGGGCTCCCAGCAGGGTAAGTGACAGCAGAGAACAGGTCCTGAGTGCTGGCAGTGAGAGAGCAGCCTCTCTCAGCTCATGGAAACAGGTTTATTTGCAGACACTTTTGGGTGACTCTCTGTAATTGCTCCAAAGGAGGGGAGGGTTGGCTGGGGTGTCACCAAACCGTGAGGGGGCCTGGGTGGCCTTTAATCCTGCCCCAGGCCAAGGGTGGCCACACAGACCCTGTTTGCCTGAGCCAAGGCAAATATGCCTTGGCTCAGTGCTGGTTTCTGTATGCTTGGCTGGGGCTGAAGGGATTGTTCACAAACAGGTGAGAGAAAAGTAAAGAGGAGAAATGAAGGGGCAGCCTCTAATGCATTCAAAGGAGAAAAGGCCATTTGAAAATTACTTGAAAACGCCTGAGCCTTTCAGGCTGTAATACTGGCAGGATGAAAGATGAGCAAATGAAGCGCAGTCAAGGTATTTTTACAAAGTTATACTCTATGGAAAATAGAAAATTCAGGCTATGAGTTTAGATGGAATGGCTGCAATAAGTCTGCGCTTTTGGTGTGTCCAGCCTGAAGCAGCTTAGCTGTGGTCCCAAGAGAGAGGAAGGAACAGCAAGAGGGGAACACAGCACATACACAGATTGGCTTCTGGATGCTGGCTTTCCTTCCTCCTAGTGTTTTGCACTTTAGGAATATATTTCTAGTCACGCAAGGAGCTGCAAATACTTATGATACTGAGCCACTCTATAGAGATACACTTGCATTACATAGGCTATAGGCAACCATCTGGGTTGGGTGCAAGTCTATGGAGAATCAGGCCCAGAAAGCTTTTGTTTTTCTCTATGAAATGCAAATGGAATTCAATCAAAGGCCTGCTCACAAACTGGCACTACTTTAAATGTATCTCTGTTTCTTAACTGATACAAGCAATTGATGTGGGTTTTACATAGACATTGCCTAGAGCATTTCCTGGTTTTGTATTGTTGCCCATAATATACAGAGATATATTCAACCACTGTATTAATATTTGCTTGCACTCTTAGGTGCTCATGCTCACAGAGAAAATATCCATAAATGTTAGTTCCATTTCATTTTCCTTTAATTCTCTGCTCCCATTGTAAAAAGGCAAGTCTTCTTTCAGTTTTTATTTGATTCAGCTGTACTCTTCAGCTTTGGTTAAATGAGGATCCTCTGCCTCATGAAGTTAAAAAATAATTATTTAAAATAATTTTTCTCTCCAGTTCTTGTTCTCCAGTTTATGGAAAGGCCAACTTCTTGCTATTATGAGAAAAGAGAATTTTTATGGGATTGCCACAGGGAGCAACCCTAGACTAGAGGAGAACCAGATCCATAGCTCACATTTCAATACTTCTCTTGAGTGTTAAAATGAAAAACAAAACAGAATAGAATAGCTCAGCTGGAAAGGATCTACAGGATAGATAGTGAACATCTGTCTATCACTATGAACAACAACAAAAAAATCCATATGCAAAATGTTTTACAAAAAATCTGTAATTCTTGTGAATTTGTCCCAAATAGCTATTAAAACAATTACAAGGTAGGTAAGGAGATATTTTCCTTTATCTTGAAAGATGCCACTAAATCTAATAAGCTCTGCAAGTGAATGACATTTGGCTGAATAGCAAGAAAACAGATTACTTTTTCAGATGTAACTTATACTTGCAACAGTGTTTGTGTCTAAGCAGAATTGTATGTATTCAACTGCTGAATGTCGGAGCTTTAATAAAACCCACCTCAGGCATAGAAGTGCAGTCTGTGATCTTGGTGTAGGTGAAGAGCCCGACATTGCTGGAGACAGAAACGTGCCAGACAGCCCTGTTGTGGAGAGCAGGGGCTGCAGAGGAGCAGCTTGCCTTGGCCTGGAGGCAGGAGACTTTCCTGGCATGGGCACCAGCGGCTTCACGCTGCTGAACTTCTGTGCCAGAAAGCTTCCCTGATGGAAGCAGGCTGCTTTACTGGGGATGGCAGAGCAGCAGCAACCCCTAAGGAATGGTTTGTGGGTCTGGCATGAGAAGAAATCAGTGAGAATGCTGAGAGGAAACAGGTGTGGCTCAGTTTTCTGAAATGGCAGAGGATCCTGCATCAGTGGCATTCATGTCACTCCTGCCTTTCCTTCATGCTCCTCAAAAAATAGATCTGAAACATACAGATGGTTGTTTCAATACAATGATTGTGGCCTCTTCCATTGTAATTATTTTAGCTGAAAGTAAGCTGGAGGAACTAAAAGTCTAAGTAAATTTCTTCACTCTTATTCTAGGGAAATTTGGTGTTTTTGTAGTTCTGTTGTCTGTCCCTCTTTCTGCCCTTTCTTCTGGGTGTGCTAGATTGATTTGTATCAGGTTCCAAAAAGGTTTGTGAAAACTGGTATTTAGGAACAGGAGTGGGAGTCAGGCACAAATCTGAAGAGGAGATTTTTCAATACAAGTTGCTTTTCAAAATGTTGCTTTGAGGTTGTGTTCATCATTGGCACTGCAAGAAGCCAGCAAGTGAAAGCTTTTACTCAGCTTTAGCACACAACTTAGGTATAACAGGGCAGGAATTGAAAATTCAGCAGTACAGGAAGGAGAGTCACAGAGGAGATAGAGCAACAATTTTTGTTACTGCTGCTGCATTTTTTTAAATGTAATTAAAGTTTCTATTAAGTTATTACCTTACTATATCTAAGTGCAACAAGTCCTGGGAGTGTGATGTATTTGTGTCATTCAGTTCATCACTGGTCCAAAAAGACAGAAACAGTGAAGAACTGAGGGAGAAAATACTTTTAGTAGATCGAGATGGACAAACATATTGTCTGGATTTATTTCTTTTATTGAACTGAACCCACCACAGGAGGAGAGTTTAAAAGGCAGGAAATATTACAGCATTGCTAGACACAAAAAGTAGGTATTGAAAATTGAAGTTGTAGAAATGGGAAGAATTTTGCTGCTAACAGCAAATGGAGAAGAGGAAATAACATAAAAGGAAATAACATCAAAGGAAAAAGAGAAGCTGCTCAGTAATAACTGCAAAGTTTAGTTTTAAACAAATAGTCATCCTTCCAGGGCAGCAGATCAGAAGTGTTATTAAATGTGTAGTGCTAAACTGAGGAAGATCGCTTTGGTATTGAGATGCAGATTTGTGAGCCATTTACCTAAAGGTAATAGTTATATCAGTGTGAAGAGGAGAGGCTCCCTGAGGATAAGATACAGAAAATGACACCTCGGATAGAGCTTTGAAGAGCTTTCACAGACAGCACAAGAGATAGTGGAGAATGAGGAGCCATTCCAGGGTGCTGGGAAATCCATATTTGTGCTGGGCTGCAATGGAACATAGAGAGTGATTTTTTAGGACTGGGGGCATTAGAAGTGCCCTTGCTCCTCGCAGCCTAGATCAAACTTATGACTCTTTGAGTTTATATGTTAAAATAAATGGGATATCTCTTCCTTCAGAATAGACATTAATCCCTCAAAATAGGGACCAAAGCCAAGGTAAGTTTTAAAGGAAAAAAAAGAAAAAAGGATGACAAGGAAGGCTGAGAGTCAGGAAGGAGAAATTTAGTGCAGACTGTCATGTAGCTGAGAAGGGGACAGAACTTAGTGTGGTGCATCTAGTGCTCAGCATAGCAGAGGAAGAGGAAAAAGAAAGGGGGCAGGTTGGGTCAGAGAAGAGGGGGCTGATTGTGAAGAGGAACATTAGGCTAACAGAAGGATGAAGTTTAAATACTAAGGAGGGCCTGGGACCTGGAATTTTGTGTGTCTGGTGACTACTACAAAACTTGAATCTTAGTAAGTGAAGACTCTGACTACCCTCTCTTCTCTCACACATGAGTTTCTAATAACAACAAAATAAATCCCCACTTCATGCTTCAGGCAGCCTTTCTTTCCCAGAGCACACTTTATGTGTGGAATAAACTTTATGTTTATTTCCTGAAAGAGACCCTGGGCTTTCCACCTCCCAGCCATGACTGCCATGCAGCTGCTTTGGGAGAAGCAGGGCTGTGGGTGGTGGGTCCTGGCCCCCAGTGCAGGCACAGGAAGAGAGACTGTGCCTCTTGATGTGCAATTTTGAGGAACTACATTTTCTGAGGACCCACACCAAAATTCTTTCACTTCTTGGTAAAAAAAAAAAAAAAAGCATTAAAGCAGGCCCTGATAGGCAAGAAATTTACATCAGTCATGTAAATAAACTTTCTTCTCTTTCCAGGCCACCTTCCTCTGGCATCCACAACTCCCAAATCAGAACCTACTGAGCACCAGCTGCTCTTGTTTTAGCTCTCTCCAGAGCAGCTGAAATTTATGTGAAATTCTGCTTTCTAAAGTTAAATGTGTTAACATTAATTTCATTCTAAAATTAGTCTGAACTTCAGCAGCAAATAGAGTTATATGTGGAGTGGGAGATGCCAGAGAATCTATGTAAAAACCAGGTACCATATATAATTTCTAGGAATGAGAAGCAGGTGTATAAGATAGAACTCTAAAAAAAGAGTTAGGAATTTAAGAATGAAAAAAAATTCGTTTTCTTAGACCATTTAAGGCAGTTCATCCAAAACCAAAACAGTATTTCAGCAGAGACTGATTTGGTTTTTTTTCCCAAATCAGAGACAAGGCATGGATTTGAAATTAATTTTTACCCTTCACTAGGATCTTACTGCATTTTTAGAAAAGTCCTTGAGGGGGACCCCACTGTGGAGGTGTTCTGGTTCTTATGCAGGTGGGTTTTGGATGGGAACATTCTGTGTGGAAACTGGTGCAAAGCTGATGGTGTGTTGTAAATAGATGACTCTTCTGACAGGGGCTTTTCTTTTCACACACTTAGCAATGCTAAGGAATAAGCTTCTTTACACAGAGTGGATACAGGTAGATAATCTGAATGGATGTTCTGTAAGACTGTCCCTTAGGAAGTTATTTCAAATGAGACATTATCTCTGGAGTGAAACTTGATAATCAGGAAGACACATAGAGTTCTTAAGCACTAATTCTTTCATGAGTGGAGGAGTCTCAGATATGATATTGGTGCTGTCTTGACATCCCAGGGGGGGTGATTGATGTGTAGAAAGATTTGTGTGGGTTCATTTTTAGCGGCATAGATAAGGAAGGCTGGAAGCACCACAGCTCTCTGTGCTTTTCAGCAAACCCACAGTGAACCACAGTATCACTTCTCTCTTTGAAAACCTGGGGTTGTTGAGCCATGTTTACAAATAATAATGGCTGAGGCTGTGTGCCAGTGTGATCAGGGAGTTTAATATTTAATCTCTTGGCTGTCTGTGGAGTGCCCTTGGAGCTGGGTCACTGAGACAGATACCTGCCTGTGGGAATTGCAAGTGCTCCCCAGGAACTGCAATGCCTTGTGCTGACAAGTCCTTGATGAGTGTGAACTCTCACTGTTTTTTTCATCAAGCTGGCTGCTGGGGAAGCAGCTCCTGTGAGCTGTGCCAAAGAACAAATCCTAATTTATTTGAAAATGTGTTCAGAATGTAACACGTGAACGGGGGTGTTTCAATGTTGCTGTATATGTCGGTCAATATGAAATCTCTTGTAAGTCCAGCGTATAAAGCGTGTAATTTTTTACATGTAATTCCACAGAACTTATTTATGTTATTGTAGTGTACAGTAAATCAGACATAGTGCAATGTATAGTTTGCTCTGGGAGAGGGCTGCAGATGTGTTTGACTGAGTTTAGACATTGCAGACCTGTTTTCTCTCACTTTGCTCTTGTGTTGTTGTTTATATCAGTGCAAGTAGGTGTGAACTGTGGCTAATTCAGGGAGGTGGCAACAACTGCCCAAAGTGCAGAGACTCAGACTTTGCATCTGTTATAGTGGGTATTTCACTCTGAAATATATTCCTGTTAATTTCTCTTCCAGAGAGCATTTGAAAAACTACCTCCATTTGGTGGAAAGGGGTGGTGGTGTGTGTTTCACTATTTGGGGGTTTTGTGGTGGTTTTTTTTGGTTTTTTGTTTTGATTTTTTTAACAAAAGAGCATACAGAGTTGCTTTATCAAAACTTTTTCTTTAAATTTCAAAAATAGTGCTGAAGTCATATGGCCAAAGGACATTTAAATGAACTGTTACTAGAAGTTGTTACGGTCTTTTTAATTCCTCCTTGAAAGCATCCTCAGTTTTGTCTGACATGGACCTAAGACCCCACATCCCATTGTGAAAATATCCCTAATGATGTGCTAGTTCTCAAGGATGTATCAGAGTGCTGCAGCTGACACCCGGTAACACTGCTCACTCCAGTGCTGGCACACTTTGCCTGGTGGGTGCAAAATCCCTCCTGAAACAGATCTAAGGCCAGAAGTCAGGATCTGCATTGACTTGCAGGACCATGCAGCAAGCAGCAAAAGAATTGATTTTCACTGAGTCAGGAGGCTAGGCTGAATGCCTGATCCTTTTCTCCCTTTGGATCTCTTTCCCCATCCCCCATTTTTTCATGTGGGCAATGGAAGTGTTACTTCTCTTACAAGAACTTAGCAATTTTCTTTTATTTTAGATGATAATAGCTAAGCATTGTGGTAAGGTTTTCTTTTTTTCTCTTTTTTTTCTTCTCCCCAGGACTGAAATTAAAGCAGAGCTTAATTAACAAAGACTAGGGGAGTTATGATGAATATCTCTGCTCTGAGACTTATCCTTCCTTAAATTTTATTTTATCAAAATTAATGTGAATCTGACAAAGAACTATGGAGTGCATACACTTATGGGGGTTGCTGGAAATAACTCCCTTTCCTTGCTTTAACTTGCTTGCAGGGTTTATGCAGGAGAAGAGCTACAAGGACTTGGTGTTTACCAAGTACAACGTAGAGCTAACCTCTGGCACCAGGTCCAGGAGCTGCTCTGCTGCCTTCTCTCTTTGCTCAGCTGCCCTCCTGCCTAATCTTCCAGCTGTAACTGGGATGTTTGCAGTTACTTTCCCTCTCAGTAGCAGTTTGTGTTGAATTGTGTGGTCAGAAAGACACAGACAAGATTGTTTGTAGGCTTCTTAAATTACATCAGCTGCAAAAAGGAGATGGTCCCTGGAGTACACAAGCTGTTCTCCAGGCTAAGATTAATAATCTTGTAGTTTGAAGAATGCTAACTAAGCTTCAAAGAGTGTTTTCTCCCCGACATCTCTTCATATACTCCTGTATTTATTCATTAAATTTTAAGCCCAGGAGGGCCCAACTGATTATTGACCCTGTCTCCTGTTCAAGGGCCCATTATATTAAATTGTCACACAAGGCAGTGGCTGATATATGGCCAAAGCAGAGGGTCCAGAGAGGTGTTTGGTTTTGATAATGGCCATGGCTGTTACTACTTTTAAGGGCTCTTGGTTAAGTGCTCAAGTGAGGCAGAATGCCTCTGTTACAGTGATCAGACCAAACCTCCTGCTGTAAGCACTTTAAAGCATTGAAAAGAGAAGTTGCAAGGGATCTCTGGAGGTTTCTCATGCAAATTCTGCCTCAACTTCAAATCTAGATCATGTTGCTCAGGGTCTTTTTAATTTGAGCTTGACCTGTCTCAGTGTACTCATTCTGAATCCTCCTGTGCTGCCAAGTACAAATTCTCATGGGAAAATTTTAAATCGGATCCATTAAAAATTCCAAGAGTATCACATCCACGTGGTTGTTATTGCCAACCCAATCTATCAAATAATGAAAATCTGGTGATGGCATTCGTTGTTTTTATGCGGTAAATCATTGTCATAAACTCTTCCATCTAAGAGCCTCAAAGCTGACTGAGGCATTGATGTGAACTTCTGTGTGAAATTTGCCATCAGTGGATCCAGTCAAGCCTCCCTCATGGCTGAGGTCTCCTTTGCTGCCTCAGTTGTGAACCTTTGCACCTCTGGCTCATGCCTGGAGATGAAAATGTGTAAATAGCTTACACTTGGGTTGCTTCCAGCAGAGCCAGATCCAGGCATTTCTGAAACACCAGTGCAGCGCAGCCTGTGTGCTGCTCCTGGGAGGGCACGGAGCAGCTGCCTCATCACCAGTGTTTGAGGCAAACAGAGCAAGATATGGGAGCAAACACTGAACCAGAGTAATTGCACTTCTCTAGATCTCATGGAAGTATAACAACAGCTTGAAGTGAAATCTCTGTGTTTGAGGATTCATCAGAACAGCCTTTGTACAAAAATTAATTGGGTCCTTTCTATCCCCTCTTTTTCTGTTCAAAGATGGGTTAGGGTGGCTTGAGCAAAGCTTTAAATCTCTGTTTCAGTCCTTGGTCTCTGAGACAGGTTTTGCATCGTCATGTATAACTGCCTTTTATGACAGATCTCAGAAAGAACCACTGTAATTTTTCTAGCCGGCAAGAAAAAGAGATAAAATAATTTCAAGAGTTTCCAAGTTTTACTCTTGCTAATGATCAGCTTGCCACAGAAGCTCTAAATGATGGGTTGGTGCTACAGATAAGCTGACATAACAGCTATGGCTGCTGAGTCAGCTCCCCTCCCTTTCCTGTCCTTGGTCTCCTGCTAGTGCTTCTTTAACACTGGAGTGAGCCAGCTCACAGAGCTCAAACAAAAAGAAAAAATTAGCTCTTTTTTTTCCTTTCTTTTTCCTTTTTTTTTTTGTGTGTGTGTCTTTACTCTTAATTGTGAACTGCCAGGACTTCAGTTTCTCAATAATTTTGGTTTGATGTACTTGTGCTGCGTAAAGTGAAGTTGTCAACTCCAGCTCATCCCTGCTTGCGCTCCTACTGCATCTCATGGTGCCTGTGTTGGGAGGCAGATCTTGGTTCTGATCTAGAGGAAAATCATCTCCCCACTCCACACTCTAATTTTTTTTCAGGTTACTTTAGGGATGCTTGCTGGATATGGCTGATTACATAGCTACACAAATACTAGGAGGAGGGGACAGGACCTCCTTTAGCTGCTAATTTCCACTTGTTTTGGCTGAGACATAATGGGGGAGAGTACTTCAGATATCCCCTTGTGAAACTGTACCTGTTTTGCTGACACTAAATCATTCAGTCTCTACTTTCATTGAAGGTTGATTAGTGAAGAGTACAGCCTGATGGAAAGAAAATATATAGGATGTGAAGAGAGTGAAGTATGGATAAAACATAATGGGGTCCTCTTCAGAAGCCTTTTTTCTTTCAAGGAAATGGAGATTGGCTTCAATAGGGAAAACGTGATCTCTAAAACATGATCTCTAAAACATTCCTGCATTTTATGTTAGTTTTTTTTTTCCCAGGGGAAGATGAATTTTAGGATGGCACATCTAGGGGCAAATAAACTATCAGGAATTGAATATCCCATTTAGAAAATGCATCCTTCTGACTTTGTTTTCTTTCTTCTGCCCACAGCACCCAGCCAGACTGGTGGGATCAACACCCTATCAAGAGCCACTTCATTCTCGTAAACACACAAAGCCCCAGAAAGAAATGGAGCAAATGTTTCCTATGGTAAGTGTGAAAACCCCAACAATTGCTGGCTCCTTCCAGCTGAATTTTGCTCTATAATTACTGAGCTGAGTATAGGAAATTAAAGTTGTGTTTTTCAGCAGCTTTTTCCATTGGCCTTACCAGAACTGCACTTGGTAGCCATTTCTACAGAGTCATTATTATTGTACTGACACCATCATCAGAGAAAAGAGTTGTGGTGCAAAAAGATTCTTTAGCATGTACATGGCCAAAGAGGAGTCTGTGGCACAGCAGATAATTTACCACAGCACTCTGCAACATCTCCCCCCCTCCATGTCCTGCCCCCCTCAGCTTTTCAGTTTCTAATAGCCTTTTTTAAAAATATTGTTTTCTTGTGGGAGCACTGATGCATGCCCTCCAGAGCTGCAAAGTTAGAGCTTCCTTCTTGAAAAGCTGATGGCAGAGCAATTGCCATGAACTGTGATACATGCAGTTGGGAAGGCAATTTGTGGCATCACAAAGGTAGGGAGAAAGGCCAGTTCATGTTATGAGATGACTTGTGAGTGCAAAAACGCTATCAAGATGGTTTGGTTTTAAAAACTATTTTGTTTCTTGTCCTTTGCTGTAAAAAAATCTATCTGCTCACACAGTGGGGGTGTTATTACAGACTGCTGCAGGATGGATAGCTCAACATTAGTCTGGTGGTCAAGAGAACCTGCCAAAGCAATTATTCATGAGCTCACCTTACTCTTCCTTCTGACAGCTGCGAAATAAGTTTCTAGTAAAAATATGGAGGGTGGTTACCTCCTCTATATCTCTTTCCCTATTTCCCTATTTCCTTGCTCCATGTGAATACTCTGACAGTTCTGTTCCCGAGTTAGGTTTTTGAGCTTTTGTTTTTTTAGGTTGCAGACTATTGTCTAGTCCTGGGTCGAGCAGTTTGTGTTCTATTTCCATGCCAAAGGTACTGGCACTGCTTCCACAGCACTTACTGGAAAATAGGAGAGACAACATCTTACGTGTACCGAGTTTCCTTCGAATTCTGTTAACAGAACTGAATTTAGGAGCAGCATGAAATCCATACCTATCCATGCATATATATTTAAATCCCTAATTGCTTTAGAAAGGGTGTTCAACTCATTTGTTTGCCAGCAAAGCCACACCATGCCAGCTCTGACTTCAGGCTGGAGAAGACCTTCTCACTGTTGCAGATAATGAGGTCCATTCTAGTTCCCACTGGTGTCTCTTGAAGAGATGTCCAGCTACCTCAGAACTGCACTGAGTGGCACAACCATCTGCTGAAGCACTCTCAGAAGCATCATGCACCCAGATTCAGCTCATTTATGGCTGGCACTCCTTGAGTTCAGGTTTGTGGCTGCTCCCAATCTTGCTTTGAGTTTCTAGGAATTGCTGCATCAGAAATAGTTGTTTGTGAAAATAAAAGTATTAGGGAAAAACTATGTGAGCAGGTCAGGAGCTTGAACTTCATCTACAGCTGCTTGTCATGGGGGCACATCCATCATAGAGGTTGTGCTGGTTTTGGCTGGGGTAGAGTTAACTTTCTTCACAATGGCTGGTGTAGGGCTGTGTTTTGGATTTGTGGTGAACACAAGGTTGGTAATATTGCGATGTTTCTTTTATTGCTGAGTAGGGCTTGCACAGAGACAAGGCCTTTTCTGCTTTTGGTATGGCCATGCTGATGAGGAAGTTGAGAGTGAATGAGAGGCTGGAGGGAGACATGGCCAGGACAGGTGACCCCAACTGATGACTAAGAGGACATTGCAGACATTGTGGCATCATGCTCATAGTATAAAGTAGGGGAAGAAGGGCATGAGGGGATGCTTGGAGTGATAGCCTTTGTCTTTCCAAGTAGCCATTGCATGTGATGGGGCCCTGCTGTCCTGGAGATGGCTGGACACCTGTCTTCCTCTGGGAAGTGAATTAATTTCTTGTTTTGCTTTGCTTGTTTGTGTGGCTTGTCCTTTCCCTATTAAACTGCCTTTGTCTCAGCCCACGAGTTTTCTATCTTTTACCCTTCTGATTCTCTCCCTGATCCTGCCAGGGGGGAAGTGAGGGAATGTGGCTGCATGGGGTTTGGCTGCTGGCTGGGGTTAACCCATGGCATAGGTCTAGATGGATAAGCAGCTGCAGAACTGAATTTGCACCTTTGAAATTTGGGCAATGCTCAGTAGCTCTGTGCAGATAAACCCTTTCCTCTCTAAACTTTTGCTGTATAAGCAAACAGTATAGATGGCAGTGCAGCTGACACTTTTCTGACTCACTAGCTCGTTTTAAACCTCCCGTCCCCTTGCAATATGTTCCTCACTTGCTGCTTCTCTCAGTCCTTGTTTGCTCAATCTTTTTGAGCATCAAAATGCTGCCCAGCTTTAAAACATTGGTGTAAAGGCCCAAGGTTAAAATACAAATGCCTAAAGTTTGGGGTGGTAGGGAACCTGGGGCCTAGTGATTGCAGAAGTGCTGGCATCCCACACCTAATTAGGGGCTCAGGGACCGATTTAAAGCCCACGAGCAGCTGTTCATGCTCTCTCTCCTAGAGGGAGGCAGGGACACCAGCTGAAGTCGGGCACTAAATATTTTGTGAAATCCAGACCATGCCTTGGTGTTTGGATCATCCGAAAATTCAAGTCCCATGGATTCTGAGTGGTGGAGAATATCATGTGTCACTTGTGTGTTCTGGAAAATGGCTCCTGTAGGCTGCGAATTTCAGGCACCCATTTCTAAAAATCTTGAGCTGGAGTTGCTAGAAGTTGTTCTTTAGGCACAGTTTACAGCTTGAGGACCATTTAAAATAAAGCAGACTTTTAAGTGACTTTTATAAGATGAGAGTTTTAGGTATAGTTCATTAAATTGTTTAATTATTTCAAGAACAACAGCAAATCATGGTGTATTTTCCTGTTTTGTTCTTTTTCTCCCCCAACAGTTTGTCTCCTCTGCCTTCATTGCCCAAATGTAAATGGTTGTAGAAATTTCCAGATGAAAGTTTATGACATAAATGAATTCCTAGTGATTGATTTTTGTATTCCTCTGTGAAATCCACACAATGGGAGGTGGCTGCTTATCACTGAGTAAGATCATTGAATGATTTAATGAGGGGTTAAATGAAAAGTAAGAGTTTTCATACTGGTGTGATGTAAATCCTGCGTCCAATTAAAGCCTCAAAGCATTTTTTAAAAGCTGTATAAAAGGTGAATCATTTCTGTAAACAGCCCTTAAAGTGAAAACCCAACACCTTTGCTGAGGGAGAAGTAATATGCTCCCAAATACCTCAGCAAACAAAGAGTCCTTTGCCTTCTGTGAGCTGCTCTCAGTTTGTTTTTTTTTTTCCCCAGCAGCTCAGCATGGGGTGCCAGAAAAATCATTAACGGGCCCATCTTGCACTTCTGGCTTTTCCACACCTGCGGGTCCCCATCTCTGCCGTAGCTTTATGGACCGTGAGGAGGCAGGTTTGACGCCAGGGAAGACAGGCTCAGCCAACAGCTGCAGGATGGGCAGAGGGCCAGACAGTAAAATGTAAAGAGGAGGAAGGAGAGGGAGCACCTTTGAAGTTTACCAAAAAAACAAAAGCATGACTTTGACCACTTCCTTTTTTAATTAGCTGTCTCAGGTACATTGAGCCACCAGTTTAAATGGATACTGGCAGGGGGTTGCTGGAAATGTCGAAGGCAATACTGTAAGGGTTTCAGCACAACGTGACTATTACTTTTTAATTTTTTTTTCTTTTTTTCTTTTTTCTTTTTTTTTTCTTTTTTGGTTGTTTGGGGTTGGCTTGTTCTTCTGTTTTGTTTTGTTCTGTGTTGTTAAGTTAAACATCCTAGCACAATGTCCGGGAAAAGAGTTCATTTCACTTGGGAACGCCTGAACTACAGCCAAAATCTCTATCTCTTGCAAGTGTGAAAAACAACATTAAAGCTATGTGGAAGGGTACTTGGATCCCACACTAGCCAGGAAATTGATGATTACCACTTCCATAGCAACCAGGACACACCTCCAGCACACACAAGTTGAATTTATTTTATTGTATGTACATAGTGTTAACTTTTGCTCAATATCCATGCTAGCACTGGGAAGCTGCTTTTGATTTGTACTACTGTAGCTGAAAGCTGAATGGGAGGGATCCTGTAAAGGAATTGCTGTTGCTGCAGGAACCAAACTTTCCTGTGCCCCCAAGAGGCCAAAAGTTCATTTTGAACTAGTATGTCCCTACTCATGTTTCTATATGCATTTAGTTTACAAGGCTTAAGAGTAAGTATTTTCATATTTATAATCAATGTTAGGGTCAGATCCAAAGATAAAACTAATAATTAAATTCTATCTACCAGGTAGAGAATTTCTATGGGGTGATGAAGGGATGATACAGTCAAATCCTGAACAAGTTCAGCGAGTATTGCTCAAGCCTCAGAAAATTAATTTGAGAATTTACTGAGGATACAAAAAATCCTTCAGATTGAGCAGTGAAAAAATTCAACAGAATTATCTACTGTGCTGCTGTAAAGTGCACAGTGATCTCACAGTAAAATCCAAAGATGTAATATCAATAACATAAAACTTCATTGGTCTTTGTAACTGCAGTAGTCTTGAGTCTGTTCTCTGCTTGAAAGCAAAAAACAAGTAACATTAGCTATTACTATAAGTCCACAAAATTCAGGTAGAAATCCAGCTTTTTATGGAAGTTGAATGTTGTCCAGTGTGTCAGTGTGTTTTAAAAGCCTCAAAGGAGGGAAAAAGAGGACACCAAACTGAATTGTGTTATACACAGGTGATTTGCATAATTTAAAGAAAAATTGTTGGAGCATGAAGTAATTATTCTCAAGTGATTTTTCTATACAATATTTTAAAGCAGAAAATTAAAAAGAATGCTTAGATTCATGTTGATAAACTGCAGTTGAATTACATAATTTGATATATCATAAGTAAAGAATTTACTTACGTAAATTATTTTAAGATATTATTTAATTTATTCCTACATAATCTATTTTTATTGATCTAGTATATAATATAGTATAATATATCAGTCTGTCAGTCCTTGATGATTTTTTCTGTCTCTGGACATAAGAATTAACAGAAAAGCATACCAGTGAGCATGCAGATTGATGGTTCTGTTCAGCTGAAATCACTCCCAGTTTAGGAAGGTTGATTTAATTTTTTAAGATCAGGTACTGTAGATAGACTTCATGGTGTTTTCAGAAGTAACTTCTACACACTAATGGCCTTAAAAAAGTCAGTCTACAGTTTATGGCTTGTTGCACTCTCTGCTTGGTTAAGCACAAGACAAATTTTTTTCCCAATATATTACAATGAAATATGAACAGATAACAGCTTTTTGTAGAGGATGGTAAAATACAGGCGAATCAATAGCATAGCTCATAAATGCTTTGGTTTATTTTTATGAGGTTCTTGTCAAAACCTGTACATTTTTTTAAAGAATTGGATCTTGGAAAATTCTGTTGACTGCAAAAGTTTTAGGCCTATTAGGTTATTGGAACTGTAGAACTGGAAGGTTTTTTTCTTTTAAAGAAAAGGTAATCTAAACCACTCATCTTCCCAGTGCAGCCTCAGATAATACTCACTCATCATTAATAGATGTTTATATAACTTTTTCTCAGGGACCTGCTTTCCCTGTCAAACTTGGTCCAGATTCTTTGTCTCCTTACCTTTAAAATATGTATTTCTCAACCTGGAACCTTAACCTTCTTCCTGCAATTAGAGCCATTCCTCTTTTTTAAAATTATTTTAAAATTATTTTCCCCCAGTAACTAAATAAATACAAAAAAACCCCCCTATAAATTCCTTTACACAGGCTTGCTTATAATAATTTATTCAGGTTTTTTTTTAAGCTATCACCATTTTAATTACTTGCGTTTTCTGAACTTCTGTTGACCTTCATTGTTCTCTTCTGCTGTCCATTGTCCCTCTTGGAGCAGCTCACACACACCTGGATGTGGAACTGCCTCAAAGATGCAACACAGCATAATGGCTGAATTATTTTCTTCTGTGATTTCCAGCCTGGATTTATGCTTCTGGTGCCTCTTGCAGTGTTTGGGTTTGCAAAGCTTGCAATCCTTGGTGGTTGCTCAGCTCTCATCTCACGCTCTGAGCAGCTGCTTGGCAGCCTGGCTCCATGTAGTGCATTATTCTTGCCTGTGTGCACTGTCTTGCATTTGTCTGTGCTGCATAGCCTGCTGCTGCTGCTTCAGACCGTGCTTTCAATTTGTCCAAATCACTCTGCATTCTAAATCCAGCTTCTGGCAGTCTCTTCCCACCTGGTGTCATCCACGGGTTTAATAAAATTATCCACTACTCTGTTGCTGCATGATGTATTGTGGACTCTAAGATCAATACAGAAGGAATAAAAATAGAGTTTGTCAAAAGCATTGAGGCTGTGTCTAGTGGTTCTAATAGTGGTCCTCAGAATACTAAATCAGGAGCTTCACTGATGGTGTATGGATGTACAAGTACTTACAGCCTGGAAAAGGAGTTGGAAAGCAATGGGAGAAAAAGAAATGTTGTCTATCTTCCAGACAGAAATACAGCCTGACTTCCTGATAATGCATTAGCACCTCTAGTGACAGAACTAAATATTGAATTGGTGATAACAGAAATAATTATTCTGATGAGGCTAGGCTCAGTTTTCCCATGTGTCTTTGTTCCAGGTGATTTGTGAATGTCAGCAGGGTAAAAGCTGTCCTTATTACACTGAGTTTTGATGATGGCTGTGTTGTCCTCCCTAGATGACTGCCTTTTGTTGTACTGACATTAAGGAGAATGTCTGTAAACCATGCCCAGTTGAACCATGACTGAAATCCTGCTGCTCTCAGGGAAGTAGAACTGAGTTCTGCCATGACTGGATCAGAGAGAGAACATTTCATAAAGGGCTCCAGAAATAATTCTTTTGGTACCTTTCAGCCCTAGCAACATCGGCATCAGTAAATCCTACAAGTTAAGGGGAGTAGGGTGGTTTGAGGTTTGGGAACTGCCCAGGAATTCCAGTGAATCCTGGAGATGGCGGGGGGGGGGGGGAATTAAAAGGCATTTTTGTTCACATCAGCATCGAATGGGTGATGTGTAAGCCACCAGGCTGTTTCACAGTGTGATGCTTTGAATGAGCCTTCACATGGGTTTTTCTTCTTTTCAGAATTTAGTCTGTTATCACCTTTTTTTCCTTAAGGTAAGAATGGTGAAGTCTCATTGGGAGAAATCAGAGTATTGCACACTGAAACATTTGTCAGCCTCCAATTCCTGTTTATCCTGTTAGGTTCACACTTTGGTATTTCTGTTTTATGCTAAACTTGGACGTTGGATTATGTCCCACAGCTGCAGATTTCTGGGCCCTCAGAATTGCAGAGAGGACCTGAAGAGCCCTGGGAGGAGGTGAGCTCTCCCAGCAAATCTTCACATCATCTCTCTGTTATCCATGCCTTTTCCTCACTCCCTCGCCTCCCAGCCCAGCAGAAACCCCCAAGGTTTATTTGAACTCTTGTAATTAGATCTGTCTGGGATAACGACCAAAGTGTCAAGGTTTCAAAGAGAAATTCAGAAAAGTCAAGAGCAAGTAGAGACTTGAAAAGGGAAGTCGGAAAAAAAAAACAAAAAACCCTGGTCTTTATCATGGTAATTGTAATGAAGCCAAGCTGGAAAAGCGCAGACGAGGGGCTGGGTTACTGCACTGGGGAGTGCCAGGGCAGCATCCCGGGACCGGGAATTAGGGAACCACGCATTTGCTGTGGGGGCTGCTGTCCCTCGGGCATTTCTGTCCTCGCTCGGAGCAGCGATGGAGCGGGAAAAGCGGCAAAGTCCTGGCTGGTTGCGGGCGGGCAGAGCGGGATTTCTGCCTGTGCTGCAGCGGCTGGGAGCGCTCCTGGCCGGGATGGGCACGGGAGGTGACACCCAGGGCCTGTCCCCGAGCCAGCCGGGCAGGTCTGTGCCCGGGGACACGCTGGGCATGGGCACGGAGCCGATGCAGGGAATAATGGGTGGAGGGAAGTGGTTTCTCAGGGAAGGAACCCCCGTTTCTGTGGGGCCGCCGCCTCCGAGCGGGTCCCCTCCTGCGCCGCTGCAATCAGGCTCTAATCAATTAGGCAAATTGACTGCGGGAGTGAGCCATTTCCTACTCCTGGCAGCTACAGCGGCTCCTGTTAACTCCCCACTTCCCAGGAACTCTGGTCTTCTCCACCTTAGGCTTTTGGGTTTGATTTTTTTTTTCCTTTCAGAGGCGTAAATGAGTAAATGATGAAAAAGCAGAGGAGTTTCTAGCAATTGTGAGCATGCTCTGTTACTGCAGACACCAAAATAATTTCGCCAAGTGTGGGAGGATTTTGGTGATCCTTTAAAAAATTGTTAATTTGGATTCAAAGGGACCAATATTCCAGTTAAGCAGGTATGGGAGCATTTGCTCTTTAAATCCCAGTCGGCCAAAGACAAGGTGCTCATGAGTAGATTGACATGTACCCAGAGAGCTAGTACTAGATGTATGGATGTAGTTAAATCTGTAGGTGCCACAGGAAGATATGATGTGCCACTTAACAAATATAGCTTCAAAAATCCTGAGGACAGACATTGCAGATGAAAGTAAAGCTGATGTTCTTCATAGCAGGGAATTATTCCTACCGGGCTCTGCAAGGAGCTCTGCATTAACAAGTCACCAAAGTCCCCGGGACTCCACACAGGCGTACCGGGGTGTTAGTGCCAAAGGATGTCACATCTGTTCTGAATCAATATTTTACTATATAAATCAGACTACTGGTTTCTCAGATTGTTTCCAAAGATGTCACCAGGCTACACTGTTCTCTCTGATTTCATTTGCTGTTTCAGGAGTTTAGTTCACTGTAACTTGTAGCTGGTGCTAGGTATGGGACAGAAGCATCCCCCACAGTGCTGTATCAGCGGCTTTCCAAAATGTGCAGCTGAGCAGCCCACCAAGCACATGGACCTGCTCCTGTTTCTGTGCAGCCCTGCCCATTGTTGGGTCTCACTCTAGTGGAACACAGAATGCTGAAAGTGATTTAGAGCGAGTCACCCCCTCCAGTATTTTATAAATTGAAAGTGGGCTCTGCGTTAAGAAAGATTGCTGAAATCTTCTGAAGCTGAGCTCCAGAGCCTTAGCTTATAGTTGGTCCTGAAGTCACTCAGGAATTTAAGAGATCAAATAACTTTCATTAGAAATAAAATTACCTTTTTTTTTTTTTTTTGCTAGCTTTGCTTCCTTGAAGAGGCAGACAAATAATTCAAGCCACTGAATTCACACAGAAAAGCAAAATTAAGACCTCAACGAATTTGCCATCATAGGTATATACATATAAAAATTAAAGATTGTTGAGATTAAAAATTGCTACTCAAAGTAATTAATGACAATTTATTTATGCATAGTAAATTACATGTAAATATACATTTCATGTATGAGGGATGCTGTCACACAGTAAAATAATGAAAAGCAGACAGTGTTAGTGACAACTCATGTTTGATTGCTGGACCAGTCAGCAGAAGAGGGGAAGTTAAAAGCTATCTATTTTCAGATACATAATATGAAAATTATATTTTGTAAAGAAAATTACATCTCCCTACAGCTATTCAAATACAGTAAAAGACTGTAGTTAAACCGAAGAGTTTTTACATTGGATCTTTTCTTGTTATAGCATTTCTGAGTCCAATGCAATGCTTCATCAAATTAACTGAGTGAATAGGAATTTCAGAAGGTCATTAAATGTCTATTGTTACACAGTATTATACAGACAGTGTTTATCTCCTGATTTAAATATGGATTTTCCTTTGGGTAAGCTCAGTTTATAATAGTCACAGTGTCTAAATTATTTTTTTTTTTTACTTACAGTTCAAAACCTGTTCAAGAAGAAATATTTTCAACATGAAAGGCATCTTTTTTATTTGCGTTCTTACTATGACATTGTCCAGGAGGTCAATTACTGTTATTATGTACAAACACATTTAATATTGTATTAAGATATATTCAGGTCTTCTGAACTTTATCTAGAAGAACAAGTAGCTCCACTATTTAACAGACTTAGGTAAGACTTTCAAGGATGTTATTATACTAACCTTTGATTTACAAGTATTTGTTTCTGTTTCTCCAGTTGCAAAAATGTTGGCAGGGTGCAATTCACAATTGTTGACTACTAAAACAATGGGAAAAATTGTCCCAAATATTAAAAATCATTAAAATAATTCACACTAGCGCTCCCATGTTAACTGTGCATGTTTCTGGTAGGTCAGTGGGAAATCTGCCCAGAAGACTGGAGGGGCAGGAATTCACATCAATTTTCAACCTCCCTGCTCTGCATGACTTTTATTGAAAGAAAATGAATACAAAGAAATTGGCAGAAAGCATAAAGTAATAAATTTAAAATAGTTTTTGGATGTAGATTTCATGTTTTTTTTACCCTACAGGTTAGAAATGCTGTATTCTCAAGTATGAACCATTCTTTTTTTTTAATCTTCTAGGCTTTGAAAATGGGGTTTAATATCTCATGACATCTAATACCTACAGATCAGCCTTTCAAGAAAACGATACCAGGAATTTTGCAGAGCACCTGTTTTCAGGTATGAGTTCAGAACTGTAGTAAAACCAGGGGCAGTAAGCTTTTATTATTATAGTACACCATAAAAAGAAATTCTGAATATTTACTACCGAAAAGATAAATGAAAGTCAAAGGGAAAATCTGAGAGTAAAGGCCTATTTTGTTTAAATTAATTTCTGATTTTTTTTTAATATATTAATGTCAGATATTTGATTAATAAACCATTATTTCAAGAAACAAAACAGAACAAAGTAATAAATACATACTTCCTTTATTTAGCAAATATTTTACTGAATATCAAAACTGGCAAAATCCATGAACAGCTTATGATAATCTCAGGCTGTGGGACATTCTTACTGAGTTCAGGGCTGTATGGCTCTTCTTAAGAGACAAAACCTTTAAATACTATTCGTTCATTAACTTCTTTTGCATTATTCCTCCAACTGCTTCTTCATACTGTGTACTCAACTAGCAGCATGCATGAAGGTATTAATTGTAAGTGTTACTCTGGTTCAGGAAGCGCACACAAAACAGTAGCAAATTTGCACAGCATTTTTCATATATATTGTTAAGCACCTACTTTAAGCATCTCACCTTCCCTATCTTGGCTCTCCTCTGTCACTTATGATGGTTCCAGGCTGGTGAACTCAGAACTGAGTTAGCCATGAACCTCACTGCCCACACCAACTGGCAGAAATGTGCTTTCTCATTCTTTCCAAAATCCAGTCTAAATCTATGGTCTGGGCAAGAGGATGGGGAACAGTTCCAGTAGCTAACAGACGTTTCCAGCCAAAGCTTGAAAGGTGCATTCAGTTCTGAGCATGTTATTGATTGTGATTGGATTTGATGCCATTTAGCTGTGTCCACTGTTCGGTTAGGAAGATGCAGAACTGTTTTTCATTACTCAGTTTTGTTTTTCCTCTTATCCCAAGGCAGACTATTTGTTTCCAAGACAGCATAAATCACCAAGTGTCACTGAGAAAGTGAGGAGAAAAACAGAAAGGAGCACCAGGGAGAGCACTGCAAGAGCTCTTCCAAAGCATGCAAAGCTTTCTATGAATTGTGAAATTAAGATGACAGTGTTACAGAAATGTGAGTATATTTTGTCCACACAATGGTTTGAATCAGTATATTTCCTAGATCAGAGCCTTTCTCTATCTAAAGTTTATGTCTCCAAGAGTAATAGTAGTTCCTGTGAGTAAAATGCTTATATTCTTTCATTTTCTTGTATTTTCTCCTTCATCTTCTGAAAGCATAAACATGATTTATTATAAACTGTAAGGTTTCCAACACCCTTTTCTTTTTGTAACTGGTTCAGAACAATGCAGTACTGAAAGTAATCACACATTCAAATACAAGTAGGTGTGAGCTTTCAAATATACTGAAAGTGAATATTCAGAACATCACATCCTGGTGTTTGCTTCTGATGTTAAAAACCTGCTGTGCAAACCAGGATGCATGTTTTCAAAAGTCTATAACTTTGTCATTTTGAAGCCAGATTTCTTCAAACAGAGCAAGGCACATATTTACCATCCAAGGATTTTGCCATTTGTGCTGACTTTGGTACCCTTAATAGAAACTAATTTTGAATTTCCTTGAATGCAAAAGTACATGCAAATAAAATTTTCACAGCTCATTTTTAGATAAATTTGTTTAGGTGCTCTGAGAAATATTTTACTAATTTACTCTTTGCTTGAGGTCAGGAAGGTTTGATATTGTCCTACCAGAAAAGGCATGATCCAAGAACAGGAAGAGACAGAAAGCAATTTATTATGTAATTAAAAAAATGTATATCTAATAAAATTGTATTGCCAACATAGCATTATGCTGTAAATATTTAAATTAGGTCAATGAAATGAATTGTTTATAATGTGCCTTTTCAGAGGTGTATTTTAAATGTCTTGCAGAAATCCAGTGCCAGTGTTTTAGCCTGACAAGAAATAAACCTTTGACTATTCAGGACATGGCTCTGAGGCGTCCAGTGCAGTTATGTTGCTCCTCCTCATTGATTCCACACAATCATGTTTGGTTCCATGAGGCTCTTGAACCAAGTTTGGAAGCTTTGCCTAATTTGAAGAGAGGTTTGGATTTGACTTTGTACTCAAGTCTGAATGCAGCAACATACAGACTTCAACTCTGTGGCTGTATATAGGAATGCACATACTGTTATTAACACTTTTTTCCCTAAAATGTAGTACTAGGAACTTTAAAAATACAGGTTTTGGGAATCTGGTTAGGAGTAGATCTGAGGAAAAATGAGAATTCATGAATTTTGAAATATATTCTCCTTCTTGAACAAAAAAACCAACCAACAACAAAAAAACAACAAAACAAACCCAAATCAAACAACCAACCAAAAAAACCCCAGAAACAAAAAAACCCAAACAAAACAAAACAAAAAAACATTAAATCCTCCCCTCCCAAACAAACAAAGAAGAGTAAAATATTTCTATCTCACCAAAAAGTCCCCCACTAAATTATTGATTTTTTTGGCTCTGATAGTGTTATTTTCATTTGCTGTAAAGACACCAAGTGCTGTGGATCAGCTCGGTTAACCTGTATTGTTCTGACTCAGAGGGGCTGTAACTCAAAAAGAGGTAAGAAAGAGAAGCACAGGGTGCCTCTGTCAGGCTCCCACATCACCCCATGCTCCTGTGCTACTCTCGCTCAGGAATCCTCCCCTCACCATTGGGGGAAGCTCCTTGCATCCCACCAAAACCAGGATGTGCAGTCCAGCCAAGGAAGCCCCATCAGAAATAAGCCACCATCCTTATGTAGAATCCAGCTGCAAGGCAGGTGGTGTACTTGGCCCCAAACATTTAGACTGGTTTAACGAACAGTAGTACCGGGACTCAGATTTGACTTAAAACTGGATTACTTTGTATTGATTTTTCCAATTCAAATTATACATATTCAGTGAAAATGCCTATTTTTGCGAATACTGCGTTTTTCTCCCTTCTTAATTAAGTAGCAAAGTACTAAAGTATTTTTAAATGGGCTGATGTAACTATGATGATGACATATCTGTTGTTCAGGACTGACTGATACTATTAATTTACATGGCTTAATTCTTCAGTGTAATGGTGACATTTTGTTTGGTTTTTTAACTTTAATTAGCTAAATCAAGATTTACTGATTGGACTCATCAGATCAAGAAAAATCTCCTAAACTGAAAAGGAATTACTAAAATACAGAAGCGAGAAATTACCTTTTTATTAATTCCCCAAAATCTTTATCAGATACACACTATCTATAAATACCTGGAATTTCTGGTAATAATGATCATCCTGGCCTTACATGAAGACAAGAATTTTTGCCACTTTTTATCTTCTTTTTCTGCAGCAAATCTCTGAAGTAATTTTTCAGCATGGTTGATATTGCTGCAACTCAAAGCTTAACCTGCTGTAATGAGACTTGAGTTTCTCCATTTGGCTAACACACTTCCAGCAGTGAAAATCACAGTACCAGTGACTTTTTTCTTTATTTTGTACCACAACTAAATTGGAGGAAAAAGTCTAAGACCTTCCATGTATCAGTAGCAGTGCCAGCAACAAAACTGAGTATGAAACATTAAATTCACCTTTCCAGGAAACAGTAAAAATAAGCATATTTAGAAGTATGTTCATATTCTTGGTATGTTGCAAAACGTGGTTTTCAGTTTTATTTTTTGGAACTCTTCCTACCTCATGCATGAGTGGGCTGTTTTACACTCTCATGGAAATAAACCATGGTAGCAGAGACAATACCCTCAGCTGTATGAGGGAACACAACTCTTGCAATGGGAGAGATGAGAGCACTTTAAGGGGAGAAGAAAAAAGAAAAAACCTCTCATAGGTGAGTCACCATTTTTAACCAGAAGCATCCACTGAGAGCTAGCTAATTAAAAAATTAGAAAGTTAATAATTTATGATGGAGAAGAAAATAGGTAAGCTCCAGAAAGTTATGTGAGATAACAAACCCAACTTTAAGATGGGTAAAACTGGTTGCCTCACTCTTCAGAACATGAAAGGGACAGGGAAAATATTTTTCCTGTCACAGCTGTAAATTGCAAGGTAAATTTAGCCAGGTACCTAAAGCACCTTTTTTGGTGTCTGAGGACTGCCTGGCCAACTCTCAGTTCATTTAAGCAAGGATAAAGTCAAAGTGCCAGCAACTCCCCCTCAAATGCTGCAAGGAAAACCCCCCAGCAGGTATTACCAGCCCCTATTTGGTGGCCACTGCTACATGAGCAAGCCTTTGGAGGGTACCTACCACACTGCAAAAGAGATTGAGTTTAAGGCTTGGTCACTAGCAGCACAGGGATGAGCGTGTAAGGGCAGTGCAACTTCACTGCAGCAAAATGAATCTACAGGACAAGTTCATTTTTTACTTCCAGAAATCGCTGCTTGTTTTGTTTCTCTTGCACAAGAAAAAAGCGTGTCTTAAAGCAGAGCAACTGAAATAAGACAAGTGTAAAAAGTGAAGCCAGCAATGAGTATTCACAAAAGAACAAAAATGGGATTGGTCAGCCTGTTTTGCAAGAGCATGGCTGTTTGGGTAATTTGTGTTCCCAGGAAGAATCTTCCTGAGTTTCATAGTGCTCTCTTTTGAACCATGTTTTTTTTCAGATTCAATCAAGAAATTGAAGTTTAATTCAATTTTACAACTGAAGAGTTTAACCCCCAAGATAGCTTCATTTCCAGCTACCAGATTCAGAGTTCCAAGTACAGCAGATAAAGAGCTGGAAAAAAAAAATCATCCATGATCAGTCAAGAAAATTTTCCAGCTTTTACTAATCTCTTAAAGTAAAACTAAAAAAACCAAAAAGTTTTAGCAAAAGAAGGTATCCTATTTCTTTGCCTCACTCTCCAGGCAACAAGTCAGGGAATTAAAATGCTGTTTACAACAGAGATGCAACCTTACAAAAGAAATTAGTAAAGACGCACTTTGTGGAAGTCACCTAAAATTCAGAACAAAGGTTGTGAGATTTTTAAATGGTATATTTCTGCACTTAACTGCTAATAAAAGTGGGTACTAATTGTTAGGCCCAAGAGTTATATGGGAGGGACAATTAACATGTTGTTCTGTTTTTGAAGTATCTGTCTGCATTAACATAGGGCATTGTAGTGCAGATTACATTGAAATGCTGACTACTCTGCTGTAATATTGCTAAGAAGAAAACAGTCCTACAGCAAAGAACTGATATTAGTTAACTTAGAAAAGGTGAGTATTGCTCTGGTTTTGATATTTTAGATGGTCTGCTTGATAAGTAAATAGATATATTAATTTCTCACACGGATTTGACATTTCCTTTCACAAGTAAATGGTTTCCACTAGGAGTTTTTAACCTAAAACAAAGCAGTTTTGTATACAAACAATGCAAAAGTTCTGACATTAATGCCAACTTCTCCCTGCTAAATCTCACAGGATAAAAAAAAATAAGTTTTAGATTTTAGTTTTAGAGCAAAATCATGTTGCTGTTGGTCAGGTTAGTTTTCTTTGCAGCCGTCAGCCCTGTCTAAGAGAAACCAGTGCTTCTGACCTGCTGACAAATTACATTTAGATCAATGTAGATCAACAAAGTCAGTATTTTCTATAGCCTTGGCCATATTAGATTTTCAACTTCACAATTTCGTATCTAGTTGTTTTTGTCCAAAGTGCCAAACAAAGAGAGGAAAAGGGGACAGTTGATTGCCACAAGCAGAGCAAAGGAAGCATGTTTGCACATGCTAATCAGTTCCCTCTGAGTGTTTTCGTTTTCCCCTTCGTGGATGCAGGCAGAGTGGGTAGGAACAACAAGGAGCAACTTCTAACCCCACAGCTCTGCTTCTTCCATCATTCCCCCTTGCCCTTTGTTCTCTCCTGCAAACAAAGGAGTTTCTCCTACCGGGTTTCTCCTCAGCCTACCAAGTCTGGCTCCTTTCTGCTCCCATTCCCCCGTGGTCCCTTCCCCCACGGCCTTGTCTGTCTCCTGCCTGTTCCCACTGCTTTTCCATCCTCCCTCCCATCACTGCTGGCTCTTTGTTCCCACAGGGCTCTGGAGATGTGCAGCAGGAGCTCAGCTCTTTCTTTTTAATTAATTTTATTTCTTTTTTTCTTCTTTTTTTTTTATTTTATTTTTTCAGGGAGGAAACATGGAACATTTGAAGGCCCACTGACTGCATATGAGAAGATAGCAGAGAAAAGCAGCAACCATCATATGCCTTAAGAAAATGCTAGCATTAAACACAGCCATGTTTTCCTCTAGAAGATGCACAAGTCCCAAGAAAGACAGTATGCAACTTGCATGCAGCTGTGACAGATTGCTGTGTAAATGATCTGTGCAAGACTAAGAACTTTCCTTCACAGCAAGTTTAACATTTTAAGAAATGCCTTTATATCTGTAAAGGAAAAAGAAGAAGGTGGGGGTGAAGTTGCCTCATAAGATTTTCAGAGAGCTCTTACCCATAGAAATAATGAATGTATTTTCAAATCTGTGTACAGATGTTTCACAAGGAGCTACAGCTTTCTGCAGTGGAGTACAACAATGCCTCACTCAGGTGCACGGTGTTAACCTGCTGCCATGAAGGTGGTCTGGGTAAGAGTGCTATGTTCTTTTTGAAAAGGAAGAAAAAGCACTGCTATCATCTTCCCAGCTTTGGCAGGGCAAATGCCAAATTTTTCAACAAAACCATAAAAAACAACTTTCACCACTACCATAATTTGATTAGGAGCATAACTGCAAAAACAAGTTTAAGCAACCAAGAGAAAATGTTTACAAAGTGCTATGTCTGTTCTTGCCTATTTAAAAATTAACTATATCGTGGCCAAATCCAGGACATAAAGAAAAGTAGGATTGGAAATGAAGCCCTTTTTATTTCTAATCATGTTCTTCAAAAGTCCTGCCTGCTTCCAGGCTATGCTTGAGAGAATCATGTGTTACTTAAAACTGAGTTAATGGAACAAGCAGCAGTCAGAGCAGCCCAGCTTAGATTGCATGGCAGTGCTGAGGAAGCTGAAGGTGCCTACAAATTTGTTATCCCTAATATCAAAGATCAAAAGAGTAAAGTGCTGCTCTGCAGCACAGAACATAAATTACTTTATAAGGGAATTCTCATGCATCCTGATGAGAACTGGCAGACACTAATAGGCAGTAAAATAATTTCTCTAGAAGTTCACTTCTGCAGTTTGTTTGCATACCTCTCTGGGATAGAAGTAAAATTTGCTAGTGTTTCCCCCTGAATCCTCCTCCCATGCCTTGAAAACAATGAAATTCTATTTGAATTAGGACAACAGGAGAGGCAATTTAAAGGGGCACTAAAGATTCAGTCTCTTAATCACAACTGTGACAAAATGCTGTTATCCTTGCCAGCAATTCCCTGGCAATTTACAGTACTCCAGTGTAAAAAAAGGAGACCTTGCATTGCAAAGAAACCTGACTAGATAACCAGGTCTTCATCCACTGATTCCCCTTTCCTGGCACATTGCACACATCCTGGGGATCACCAGGCACTCTGCCATCCTGAAGCCATTCAGGAGCTACGTTCTGACCCTGACATTGAATTTAAAGTTATTTAGAAAGTGAAGTTAGTGCAGAGGCTGGCTTCTGAATAACCCATTTAATGAGAAGGGCATTTCAGTAGGACTGTGTGAATGCACACCAGCAGCCCCATTAGGCTGCAATAGCACCTCAAGAGTTTTTAACATAGGGGCAACCTAAAACCACTCTGCCTGAACTGTGGTTTCTGCTGCTCGCCAAAAGGGATTCTCTTCCTGCATATAGGATAGAAATTAAATTGTTGGGCAGGTTTCCCCTGCAAGGTCCTGCAACCCTGGGTTGCCACAGGTCTAGGAGTTGTTTTAGCGTATAAAAAAAGAAATACATAATTAGTAATTTGAGAAACATCCGAGGACTTTGAAGATAACATCCCAAAGCAAAGAAGACCTCAGGAAAGAGTTAAGATTTTTTTCTTTTATGTCACTGATGGGCTGATTTCCTGCTGAACAATTGCTCAAATGTAACAAAAAAATGTTGGATAGACAATGGTAAGTTAAATAGAGTTAAATAAAGACATATTTTTAATATCTGCAATATAACTGAAGCTAAGTTAAAATATAAGGAAAAACAGGTTGTGTAAAGGCCAGGAAAATACCCCAAGGATCAATATGAACTTCAAAAGGTTGTGATGTTTTCAACAACTTGTTAATTGCTGGTATATGAGTAAGTGCCAAACCCAAATCATTGCTTCAAATTGTGTTCCAGAGCAAAACACACAGAAATTTCCAACCTTTGTGAAGCAACACAAATAAAAGACTCCACATACTTGTGGGTGATTTTTGAATTACTTTAACTCTTATGACTCTGATTTTTGAATTATTGTAATTCTTATGACTCTCATAGGTTGCTTTGCAAAAGAATCTCTGCTTTCATTACCAATCACTGCTGCTTTCAGGCCTTGAATATTTGAATCTTAGCATTCTTCCTGTGAGATGCTTAAGTAACTAGAAACTGCAGATATGTGTTTTTAGCCTTTAATCTGGACACTTTTGTCAAGAGAAAAACTATTAAATTACCGTAGCTGTTCTTTGGGCAAAACTCGTAAGCCATCTATTACCTGTGTTCCTTTAGGGTGAAAACATTCTCAAATAGGTTTACCTATTTCTTTTGCTTCTCTCTTTAAAACTAGCTGATGGGAAAGGGCAGAAGAAATGTTAAGTGTGATTAACTTATTTTGAAGCATATTGTTAAGCCAGCATCCCATTCCAGAATAGCATATTTCTGCTGACAGCCTTTTTACACAAGATCTTCAGCCAGTTTTCCATGAGAAGTTTCTGACATCGTGTAAGAATAATTTCCTTTTCCTATGAAGTTTTCTTGAGTTATTAATTTATGTAGAATGAAGAAAGTAATTTCAAAACAGACATGAAGTGGGCAATTGCTTTTCCCTTCCTGAGGCTGCCGTGGGTTTGTTCTCTTGAAGCAGGATCTCACCTCTCAGCTGAGGATTTCTAGCCACAGGAGTTTCTCAGGAGAGCTCTTCAGCTGCAAGTGGAAGGGAAGATAGAGCTCCTGAAGCCACCTCAGGATTTCTACTTGGAAGCCTGGTAACAAAACACTGAAGTGAAAATAATTGGAAGTATTTGGGATTTAGTGTCAAAGTTTCTCAGTTGAGGCATCTCAAATATATCCATTGAAAACATCCTCCTGTCCATTACTGTCCAGGTACTGTTCAGTGTTTCTGATCAAATGATGTATTAGCTGGTCTGAGGCTGTTGAAACATCACTTCTAATAGGTCATAGCATCCTTTATAAATAATTTGGTTTCTGGAGATTCTCACATTGCTTTCTTAACTCTGAGATAAATTACAGACAATTTTCTCTTTTCTGAAAAATACCTAAAAACTGTGGCTCTTGTTTTGAATCATGCTTGAAGTTTAATCCAAATTTTTATAGAGGGAGACAAAACTTATCTCCACCAACACTTTAAATATGTTAGGGATCACTGTTTTCCTCTGGTATCTCTTTGAGTCAGAATGTTGATAATGTTAGGAAAACTAATTTTTTTGGAGAAGGACTCAAGGGTGAGATTTTATTCAGTTTGCATCCTTCAGGTTGTTTCTGAAAGGCTCTCTGAAGAATGAGCACTTGTCTTCTCTGTCCTTCAGGACAGCTGGTTGATATCCATAAGGCTTCCTGGAGCTCTGCTTCCTCTTGGAAGGAAATCTGGAATTCTGTGTATTTAGTTGGTTTTTTCTATATTCTTGAGGTTTTTTTACTGGAATGTTTAAGCTAAAAATGTATCAAAATTCTGTGGTGAAACTTAGGCATGAGAATCCAATTCAATAACTTAATTTCTGCTTAAAATTTCTTTATCCAGTGCCATTGATCTTATCACAATGAGTTTGGTCAGTAAAGCTGTGAATATGCTTTCTGTGTCTGAGGGCAGGTGGGAAATGGAGTTTGTGGGGGCTGAATTATCCTGGTTTTCTACAGTTCTTGGGGAATTGTAGGTATTTAGCACCCCTGATTAACAGGTAACTTATTTAGATGTTTAATTGTAGGCAGTCAGGATGAATTTTGAGTTATTTTTCTTCCTTGAGTTTGGATATGAGTGAGGAGAGGGTGGCATTTTATGTCTTGTAAGATGTAAAAGCATGGAGGGAAAGAGCTGGTTTGAGGCTGCATAGCAGCATATGCCTGGAAGGAATGGGGTTAAAGCTAAGCAGAGTAGTATGCCTGCTCCATAGGAGAAAAAATCTTGCAAACAAGATGCATTTATCTGTAAGTGTGTTTTCCAAGACAACCAAAGAAAATGCTAACATGCATGGACTTTCAAAAGTACTCTGTAAAAAATAAAAAGAAAAAAGCAGTTGCTAGACCCTGGGTAGAAACAATTTTCATCTCTGATATTGTCTCTGAATATTTGGTGCGAAACACAGTGATTTTGCTTGAAAATACACGGGGCAGCCAAAAGCTTGTAGCCACTTGTGCCTTGCTGAGATCAGCTTCCATAAAACAGAGCTCCTTTAAAGGAGGTGCCACGCTGTCAGCACATCTGTCTCGGGCAAGCGGAGGAAGCACTGGAGGGGGGGGATTGCTGTTCATTAATTGCATCATATTGAGCTTCCAGGCAGACTTGAGACGGCCAAAAGGTGGAGATTTTTAGGTTCCTCCCCCTACTTTTCTATCTCCTCCCCCCTTCCCAAAATAAGTGTTTTGCCAAAACCTCCTTGTGGCAGAGCAAGGCTTTTAAAAGGAAAGTCAGGAACAAAGCAAGAATTTTGGAGACTAGGTTAATTCCAGTCCTTTCTTTTCTGAAAGGAAGACTTGTAATGTGTGCAGTCTGTCAAGTCACTGCTTCTCAAGGTGAAAATCCAAAAAAAAGTTAAACATATAAACAATAATATTATAGGGTCACAAGTCATTACCCAGCCTTGTAAATACAAGAGTTTTCAACTTCCAGTCATTGATCTAAGAACAAAAATTGTAAGAACTGGGGACATAGTCACACTTTGTTCTGTCGTATTCATGTGTGGATTACTCATGGAAAAATTTCCTATGCTTTCAACAGAAATATTTCTGAGGTAAAATCTGTAGAAACTAGCTGATACTTAAGAACTTTTATAGCATTAAGGGTTCATTAATAAAATAAGCTCGTGGATTTTGCAATTTCTTTATTAGAAATGTATACTTGACTAATTTACTTAATATTGTGCCAGTGTTGTGCACTGTAATCTTGTATTTCTAGATGTAAAATGTGGTGAAGACTTTTCAATGCATCACAGCAGTTGCTTTTTGAATGGAAATATATTTACTACAAGTGTAGACAACTTAATGTGTGAGACAAGACATCTGCCAAGGATGAAGTCTTGAATTAAATCCTATTTTTATCAAAGCTGTCAATGTGTTATGGCTTGAAGTGTTTTCTTCCTAAAAAAAAAAAAGGTGCCTTGAAGTTATTTTTCTACTTCTTAGATTGACCCTGTCCTTGACATCTGGACAGACAGAAACAGGAAATTAATTCTTGGGGATACATGACATCTGCCGCAAGATTCTTGAAATGAAATGCACCTGAATTTACTGACTTGGACAATATTGAAATCTTCCTTCTGGTTTCTTTAAAAAAAATTTTGCAAAGCCAGTGTTAAATGCAAATAACAAGCTGTCTAAGGATAGAATTGCAGAAGACTTCGATTAGTAGTGGTTTTTTACTAGTATAAAACAATGAATATAACATGATTGAGATTGGTTTTAATTTGTTTTAATTCAGTTTGTTAAAAAAAATAGCTGAAGAAGGCAAATGAATGTTTGCAACATGTCTGCAAGTTTATTAATGTACTACATTGGCAGGGATGTAAGTGGAAAGTCCATGACTGAATGGAGAAACTCCCATTTCTGCAGTGTCCTCAGGGCATTCCTGGCACTGCCTCCTATGGCACAGGCAGTGATGGTTTTACATGTTGTGGTCCCCACACATTTGTCATTTGCTCCTTATTTATCATCTCTGTTGTACCTGCACGTGGTACTGACAGCACAGATTGCTAGATACAAAGGTAGGGCTTACATGACTCCTTTTTACTGGTGTGGAGGTTTTGTTGTTTGTCCTTTTTTTGTTGTGAGGTTGGGGTTTTTTGGGTTTTTTTTTTTTGGTGGTATTTGTTTTGGGTTTTTTTACAAATTTAATGTGCAAAATGAACCAATGCCTGCAGCATGGTGAAACTAAGTGTACTAAAAGGAGCACTTTGATATAAACATCAGTGCTCCAGAAACATCCCGCAGGAAAAACGCAGCCTTGTTAGAAAATCAAACTGAATTTGCATTACCAGATATCAAAGGTTGTGAATTTTTGTTTTGACATGTAATTACTCTTCATTATGTATTATTAGCCTATTGGATGCTTGCTTGCATTAAAAATAGTTCTAAAGAAAATAAGGCTGGGATATTAGCAATGAAACATTCTGTGTAATATTTTCACTCTGAAGGTTGCTAAAATGAGATCCTTAAGACTTGCCTGAAGTGAGACAGTGAGTCAGTAGAGCCCAGAATCAGCTCTCCTGTCATTAAAACACTTGTGCTGTACATTATATCAATCATTTTCCCATATCTGAACCTGTTAGGTGGCATAAGGCCAAAAGAAGTGGCCAAGACTCAGTCAAGAGAACCTTGGCTGAATTCAAACCAGGAAACTGTAAGGAACATTTGTGTTTGCCAGAGCTTGATGGGTCCATTTAATGCAAAAGGATGAAGTTAGCAAAACATTGTGCATTCCTCATGGAGCCACAAGCAGAGAGCCACAAACATGTCTGTAGGTCCCAGAAGGTGCTCTCCAGGTCTGAGCCCTGTGTGCCAGGCAGAACTTTTGCCCATCGTGTCTCTGAAAAGACCAACAGGAGTTTCTTTAAGGAGCTTGGTGTCAGCAGCTTCTGATTTCTGTGCAATTACCACTTTCCAATGAGTGCAGCCTCCCTTATTTATTCCTTGTCCAGATTTAAATTTAATTTAACTTGTCATTGGTGTGACAGTCCTGTTTTACTGCTCTATGAGGCCCTTCTCCCACATATTTTCCCTCTGAACAGACACCTATCCAGCATGGTGGGCAACATGAGCGCTGTGCACATAATGGGAAAAAGATTAGCAGGGAAATATGGTGGTGGCTTGATCAATTTGTGGATATTTCACTTTCTTAAAGGTAATAATAGGAAAATAGTTAGATGTTTTAGGAAAACAGTTTAGATGTCAATACGAGATGACCTTGTTGGTGAAGTGAGTGTGGGTAAGATGAAGAGTTAGGTATAGAGAACAGAAGTATTTCACATACAGCTTGGAGGAAATAAATTGATTGTGTTCAGTCTAAGAAAGGGTACAGTGGAAGGACACAGAAAGTGGCTCAGTTGATATAAGACCATGCTACATGTGAGTTCAAGATGACTTAAGTCAGACTGACTTTACTGTCCTTCCTTCTGAATCTGCTGCACCAACATGATGAAAACAGCATCAGTTGTACAAAACTGTTGTTGTCAGTTAGTGGAGGTTATCTCAAACCAGATAAAGAAAACAGTTTTCTATCTGAGAGCTTTCTTGCTGATGAGAGGCAGAGAATTTGTTTTCAGTAACCCGTCATTGCTGAAGCTGTCCAAACCCTTTTATTTTGTATGGATGAGGGTGTTACTTAGAGCAAGAAATGGGGAAATAATCTTGGCAGTAAAGAGTTTGGGAAGGGCTGTAAGCTTTGAGGCCACATTCAAGGCAATTGCTAATTCCAAAGCATGAGATAATCTAGATTTAGACAAAATTGACAGATTAATACTAAAAGTCTTATCCTTATAAAATACAAAATAGTGCTCATTAACACTGTTTATTTGCCTTTCCTGTTGACTAGTGAGGAGAAGGAAAAAAATCCCCCACAAAACAATGGAAAAGAGATTGATCTGGTTTTAAAAATTCTGCAGTTACAGATTAGGACTTATATCTCTTTATGTAGAGGTGTTAAGATTCTCTAGCTATGAAACACCCAGTTTGTCTTAATCCTTACAGTAATCTTCATGAAATGTCCAGAATAGAGGAAAAAATGATAGATTTCCAAATTCCTGAAATCTTCTATTGATATTAAAAGAATTGTGAAAGAAAGATTGATTCTTAGCACTGCATACTTTTATAAAGAGAGGTATATGCTTAGGAAAAAGATGGATATTTCCAGTGAAAGTCTGTTTTGGTCATTAATGCCAGCAAATCTGAGGACTTCTGTCCTTAAGACCTGAACACTAGCTTTTTAACCTCCTCCAACATATCTCAGCAAGGAAAGGTGAGTTTACATTAGTGCCCTTTGGGAAGTATATGGACTGAAGTATAAGAAAAGGTGATGTTTATGGTAGGGTGTCCCAACAGGACTCCTGCTAGGACATTTATGACAACACTAGTACTTTCTATGCTCAAATCTCTAGGGTCCCTGTTTGAAGCAGAATATGCCTTCAGTGTGGGATTGGGTGGTTTGTTGTGTGGGGTTTTTTTTTGGGGGGGGGGTTCTTTTTTGTTTGCATGTTTGGGGGTGTTTTGCTGTTTTTTTTTTTTGTTGTTGTTGTTTTGTTTTGTTGTGGTTTTTTTTTGTTGTTGGTTTTTTTTTTTTGCTTTGTTTTAGTTTTTGCTCGGTTGGAGTTTTTTAAATTTATCCTTTAGGCCAGGATAATGCAGTACCTATTATTCTACTACAAGCTGTCCCTCTTGGCAGCTCCCAATGCAACGGCCTGTTAAGAGTGGTGAGTGGCTTTTGTTTGTGTCATCTCCTTGCTCCCACTAGTTCACACAGGAAAATTTGGTTTAAACAGCTCTAGTCATCTAAACAATATTGTTAAGATATTGAAAAAGATATTCTAGGTTAAGATATTCTAGTCCCACGTTTGCTGATTTCACCTATCTTTGTGCCAGACACTCTCTTAAGGACTTTCATGGGATCTCCAGTTTATTCTGTTGGGTTTCTCCAGCTGGTGCTGTCTAGTGCAACAGGAGCTGAAGCCACTGGAAGTTTGGTCATTGACTTTCATGAGGAAACCTCAGGATTTGAGCATTTGAGCTGGAGAGGGCACTTAGCAGTACTCAAGCAAAGATCTGACTAAGTCAACGGGAGTTCTGCCACCTTCCAAAAATGCAGAATGGCACTCTGCCTTGCCTTGCCCTCCCAAATGGGGGGGAAGCAAAACAAACAAACATCAACATGCTGTGCTCCGCTCAGACTACTTGAAAAAGTTTCTCAAATACGTGTTTGCATCCAAACCTGTGAGAGAAAAAGTTATATTAAATACTAAAAGTGGAGATCCTGAAATGTACTTATCCCAGGGTCTTAATACCCACATTAATATGGACAAAACAGCTATGTTTTCACAGGCTATCCTGTCCTATGTAAGTATATGTTAGCAAGCTGGGGTTACAAAGCAATGAGTTCTTATAAGAGCTCTGCTCTTTCAACACAGTCTTTAGGTTTTGTGTAAATCTTATTTATAAGAAAAATTATGTGCCAGGTTAAGCAAGATCCAGAACCTTCCTAGGAAAATGACATTTACATGCACATCAATGCCTCAATAGTAGCACCAGTAGGACATTCCTCCCCAGTGTCCAGGAAAAAGCAGCTGACAAGCAGCGCCGTACATCTCAGTTACATATATAATGATAAATGTTCATTTTTCTTAAGGGGAAAAAGGGGGAAAAAACCCAGGTGGTGGGAAGACAGGTGTTTGCTCTTCAGAGAATTAGAGGTGAGAGGTTTTGACCCTTGGAAGGTGGGTTTCATCCCCGGGCTCAATGGGTACTGGCCCAGCCCGGAGCGGGCAGGGGAAATGGGGGACAGGGACAGGAGGGACACGGATCTGGCCCCAAATGTGGCATTAATCGCGGGTGTTCCCCCCAGAACTGCAAGCTGGAAGATTTTTAAACAAACAGCTCCAATACTTGAACACACTCCGGCGTTTCGGCACGGCATCCTCAGGCGGTTAAAGCTGCAGAGGGGCAGCTGGCACCCTGGGACCGCAGGGACGGGCTGGTTCCCGCTGGGAAGGTGTCTGGGGATCGCCGCGTCCCGGGGAATAAGGCAGGGAATGACGGACACGGAGCCTTCTGAACACGAAGTAACAGCTGGAGGCAACTAATCTTCCCATGCGAGAGGGAAAGTATTGCTATAAATCGGGAATCTTTATAGCTGTGCTGCTGGAGGAAGTTTTTTGGCTGTAAAAACTGTCATGCACGGCAGCTCCCGCTGAAAAGACTCTGGAAGTGGGGAGTCCTCTCTCCTGAGAACCAAAGTGCAATTAAGATCAGAAAGAGGGGGGAGGAAATAAAATAAAGACGACAGGAATCCGAGCTGAGGAAAAACTTTACGGTTTGGGTCTCTTGGTTCTTTTGGAGCAGTTGTTAGGTTTTATTTTAATTTTTTATGGCATTTCAAAGATTTTACATAACTCCTGGAAACTTTTTTTAAAATGTCCATTTCAAAATTTAAAATTACAAAGACTTTTTTTTTTTTTAAAGACTAGCTAAATTGGAGAGCATACTTTATTTTTCTGGGATGAGCAAGTCACTCATTTGCTAA